TATCTTGTTTTTGAAGTACATAATTTGAAAGAATCTCGTGGACCCACTTGTGTTTTGTTTTTGAAGTAATTTGATAGAATCTCGGGGATCTTTTTTTTCTTGCTTCTGGAGGAATTTGAAAGAATCTCCGGGATTCCTTGTCTAATTTTTGAAGTAATTTGCAAGAATCTTGGGGATCTTTTTTTTGTCTTGCTTCTGAAGGAATTTGAAAGAGTCTCTGGGACCCCTTTTATCTTGTTTTTCAAGTACATAATTTAAGAGGATCTCGGGGATCCTCTTGTGTTTTATTTTTGAAGTAGTTTGAAAGAATCTCGGCAAACCTATGCGTTTTATTTTTGAAGTAATTTGAGAGAATCTCGTGGACCCACTTGCGTTTTATTTTTGAAGTAGTTTGAAAGAATCGCCCCCCCCCCCTGGTGATTTATTGTTGAAGTAGTTTGAAAGAATATCTGAGATCTCTTGTCTATTTTTTTTGTCTTGTTTCTGAAGGAATTTGAAAGAGTCTCTGGGACCCCGCGTATCTTGTTTTTGAAGTACATAATTTGAAAGAATCTCGTGGACCCACTTGTGTTTTGTTTTTGAAGTAATTTGATAGAATCTCGGGGATCTTTTTTTTCTTGCTTCTGGAGGAATTTGAAAGAATCTCCGGGATTCCTTGTCTAATTTTTGAAGTAATTTGCAAGAATCTTGGGGATCTTTTTTTTTTGTCTTGCTTCTGAAGGAATTTGAAAGAGTCTCTGGGACCCCTTTTATCTTGTTTTTCAAGTATAAAAAAAAATACATAATTTAAAAGGATCTCGGGGATCCTCTTGTGTTTTATTTTTGAAGTAGTTTGAAAGAGTCTCGGGGATTTTTTTTTTGTATTACTTCTGAAAGAATTTGAAAGAGTCTCTGGGACCACATGTGTCTTGTTTTTCAAGTAATTAATTTGAAGGAATCTTGCCCCCCCCTTGCTTCTTATTTTTGAAGTAGTTTGAAAGAAGCTTAGCAACCTTTGCGTTTTGTTTTTGAAGTAATTTGACAGAATTTCGGGGACCCCAGTGTTTTATTTTTGAAGTAGTTTTAAAGCATCTTGGGAACCCTTTGCGCTTTATTTTTAAAGCAGTTGGATAGAATCTCGGGGATCCCTTGACTAGTTTTTGAAGTAATTTGAAAGAATCTCGGGGATCTTTTTTTGTATTGCTTCTGAAGGACTTTGAAAGGGTCTCTGCGACCCTTGTGTCTTGTTTTTGAAGTTATTTGAAAGAATCTCGAGGCCCCCTTGTGTTTTATTTTTGAAGTAGTTTGAAAGAATCTCGGCAAACCTATGCGTTTTATTTTTGAAGTAATTTGAGAGAATCTCGTGGACCCACTTGCGTTTTATTTTTGAAGTAGTTTGAAAGAATCCCCCCCCTGGTGATTTATTGTTGAAGTAGTTTGAAAGAATATCTGAGATCTCTTGTCTATTTTTTTTGTCTTGTTTCTGAAGGAATTTGAAAGAGTCTCTGGGACCCCGCGTATCTTGTTTTTGAAGTACATAATTTGAAAGAATCTCGTGGACCCACTTGCGTTTTATTTTTGAAGTAGTTTGAAAGAATCTCGGGAAACTTTTGCGTGTTATTTTTGAAGTAGTTTGAAAGAGTTTCGGGAACCTCTTGTGTCTTGTTTTTGAAGCAAAATTTGAAAGAATCTCGGGAAAGCTTTGCGTTTTATTTTTGAAGCAATTTGAGAGAATCTCGTGGACCCACTTGCGTTTTATTTTTGAAGTAGTTTGAAAGAATCTCCCCCCCCCCCTCTGGTGATTTATTGTTGAAGTAGTTTGAAAGAATATCTGAGATCTCTTGTCTATTTTTTTTGTCTTGTTTCTGAAGGAATTTGAAAGAGTCTCTGGGACCCCGCGTATCTTGTTTTTGAAGTACATAATTTGAAAGAATCTCGTGGACCCACTTGCGTTTTATTTTTGAAGTAGTTTCAAAGAATCTCGGGAAACTTTTGCGTGTTATTTTTGACGTAGTTTGAAAGAGTTTCGGGAACCTCTTGTGTCTTGTTTTTGAAGCAAAATTTGAAAGAATCTCGGGAAACCTTTGCGTTTTATTTTTGAAGTAATTTGAGAGAATCTCGTGGACCCACTTGCGTTTTATTTTTGAAGTAGTTTGAAAGAATCTCGCCCCCCCCCCCCCTGGTGATTTATTGTTGAAGTAGTTTGAAAGAATATCTGAGATCTCTTGTCTATTTTTTTGTCTTGTTTCTGAAGGAATTTGAGAGTCTCTGGGACCCCGCGTATCTTGTTTTTGAAGTACATAATTTGAAAGAATCTCGTGGACCCACTTGCGTTTTATTTTTGAAGTAGTTTGAAAGAATCTCGGGAAACTTTTGCGTGTTATTTTTGACGTAGTTTGAAAGAGTTTCGGGAACCTCTTGTGTCTTGTTTTTGAAGCAAAATTTGAAAGAATCTCGGGAAACCTTTGCGTTTTATTTTTGAAGCAATCTGAGAGAATCTCGTGGACCCACTTGCGTTTTATTTTTGAAGTAGTTTGAAAGAATCTCGCCCCCCCCCCCCCCTGGTGATTTATTGTTGAAGTAGTTTGAAATAATCTCTGGGATCTCTTGTCTATTTTTTTGTCTTGTTTCTGAAGGAATTTGAAAGAGTCTCTGGGACCCCTCGTATCTTGTTCTTGAAGTACATAATTTGAAAGAATCTCGTGGACCCACTTGCGTTTTATTTTTGAAGTAGTTTGAAAGAATCTCGGGAAACTTTTGCGTGTTATTTTTGACGTAGTTTGAAAGAGTTTCGGGAACCTCTTGTGTCTTGTTTTTGAAGCAAAATTTGAAAGAATCTCGGGAAACCTTTGCGTTTTATTTTTGAAGTAATTTGAGAGAATCTCGTGGACCCACTTGCGTTTTATTTTTGAAGTAGTTTGAAAGAATCTCGCCCCCCCCCCCCCCCCCCCCCTGGTGATTTATTGTTGAAGTAGTTTGAAAGAATATCTGAGATCTCTTGTCTATTTTTTTGTCTTGTTTCTGAAGGAATTTGAGAGTCTCTGGGACCCCGCGTATCTTGTTTTTGAAGTACATAATTTGAAAGAATCTCGTGGACCCACTTGCGTTTTATTTTTGAAGTAGTTTGAAAGAATCTCGGGAAACTTTTGCGTGTTATTTTTGACGTAGTTTGAAAGAGTTTCGGGAACCTCTTGTGTCTTGTTTTTGAAGCAAAATTTGAAAGAATCTCGGGAAAGCTTTGCGTTTTATTTTTGAAGCAATTTGAGAGAATCTCGTGGACCCACTTGCGTTTTATTTTTGAAGTAGTTTGAAAGAATCTCGCCCCCCCCCCCCTGGTGATTTATTGTTGAAGTAGTTTGAAAGAATATCTGAGATCTCTTGTCTATTTTTTTTGTCTTGTTTCTGAAGGAATTTGAAAGAGTCTCTGGGACCCCGCGTATCTTGTTTTTGAAGTACATAATTTGAAAGAATCTCGTGGACCCACTTGCGTTTTATTTTTGAAGTAGTTTGAAAGAATCTCGGGAAACTTTTGCGTGTTATTTTTGACGTAGTTTGAAAGAGTTTCGGGAACCTCTTGTGTCTTGTTTTTGAAGCAAAATTTGAAAGAATCTCGGGAAACCTTTGCGTTTTATTTTTGAAGTAATTTGAAGAATCTCGGGGACTCCTCGTATTTTGTTTTTGAAGTAGTTTGAAAGAATCTCGAGGATCTATTGTATACTTTTTGAAGTAATTGACCCTTGTGTCTTGTTTTTGAAGTATAATTTGATAGAATCTCGGGGATCTTTTTTTTTTCTTGCTTCTGAAGGAATTTGAAAGAGTCTCTGGGACCCCTTTTATCTTGTTTTTCAAGTACATAATTTAAAAGGATCACGGGGATCCTCTTGTGTTTTATTTCTGAAGTAGTTTGAAAGAATCTCGGGGATCTTTTTTGTATTACTTCTGAAGGAATTTGAAAGTTTCGGCAACCTCTTGTGACAAAATTTGAAAGAACCTTGGGAATTCTTTGTCCTGTTTTTGAAATAATTTGATAGAATTTAGGGGACCCCTTGTGTTTTGTTTTTGAAGTAATTCCGACCCACCCACACCCAACCAAATCAATAGCATTTCCGTAAAATTTGAATCAAAAACTTTATCAAACAAATAAAAACACAAGCCATTAAAGCTTGATAGCCCTATAAAAATAAAATAGTGTCTAATTACGAAAATGAAAATTTTCTTATCAAAAAAAAAAAAAAAAACAACCAATCAGCTCACATGATGTAAATAAACAAAAACTGTAAGTACTCATTTATCTACAAATGAGACATAACTACTTGGCAATAAGTTGTAACTTTGTGTTATCAACACTTCTAAGTTTTGTTGTTTTTGTTAAATCTAACTGTACATTATTTGCGTGTGTTCCTCGGCCACCCAACTTCCCCACACCAAACCCAGCCAAACAACCGCAATTACGCGATTGCTCATTACATAAAAAGCTCGAACAAATAGCACAAGTATGATTCCAAAAATAGAATTTTAATCACCTCGTCCCTTACCGACAAGGTCTCCTAATGAATTACCAAACAATAACACACTCACAAGTGCGTTTTCGTTTTTATTGTCGTCTGCTACGAACGCCACATTTCCCGTGAAAATTGCCCATTCATCAAAAACAAACCCATTACCGACATTAATTCCGACAGAAATGAACGTCTAACCTTGTACCTGGCGTTGTCTCGAGATAATCGCCAGCGCCAAATGTGTGTTACTGGGTTTAGAATCTCGCTAAACCGGATTTTGTTAATCCGTGACTCATCCGATGCACTGGCGCTATTTTTAAATATTAACACCGACGATCGGCGTTCGGTTTTTATCGATTCGGAAACCGGGTGATAATTCAATGGTGAAAATGCGCTTATCGCAGATTAGGGATTTATCCGTCGTGCGACTTTTATCACAATGGAGATATAAATTTTGGGTTTTAAGGTGATAGCGGCTAGTATTTACGTAACGCGACCTTGGTAATTATTTAATAATGTTACCGTCATATCCTGCCGACCAGCTCCACATGGACACCATCGCCAGCAGCCAGTGGAAGAAGTAGCCCTCTATCTTCCAGTACACGTCGGGGTTGACTTTCCGAAGGGGCGACAACAAAACCATCCATATGACATACGTAGGAATACAATACACATTATTCACGAGAATAAAGCACAGCCTTAACAACGCTTTCGGTATCTTGTACCAGTTCCTGAAAGAAAATCGATACGTGGAGACAAGGGGAGCGATAAGGGGGCTGCAATTTCCGCCCGAGAATCGAAAAAAACAAGTGTTTAGTGTGGAAGCGTCTTTAATACGATAATCTAGCCAAGTCGGATGCGGGCGTAATAAGCCCTTTGTCGAGCAATTCGTGCGGAGCCATAAATCTACATTACCGGAATGTTAGGTTATGTCGCTGTTTTGGACTGAAACGTGCCCCCTTGCATTATGTAACCACCAACCCCCACACTTACCGCGTCAGACATCGAATACTTTCCATTTTATTCGATCCCTCTCACAACCTCCGGCTCATTCCTCCGAATTAGGCCCCAAGATCCCGCAAAAGCCACCGAGAGCACCTCCTTTGTTACGAAAATAAAACAATCGATGGTTCATGCACGCCACTGAATAAATAACCAAACTGCAACTGCATCCACTGATAACTTCACGGCTTTATTTTTAAATGCACACACTGAAAGACGATAATTTTAGCCGCCGAATTGTCCATTTTCGCGAAGCACCGAAATTCGAGCGGTCGAGGTTAGGCACGGTTCGGGCAGAAAATGCATACTTTACGATTTTGACAGCATCGGACGCATCGGGGTAGAGAGACGCCGGTTTCACATCACGATTTCACCTGCCGTTATCAGCACTACGCTCGAGGACTGATAACAATGCCAAATGTGACGTGCGGTTAAATGTCAAGATGACAGCAGCGACCGGGGCGACATCTACAATTTCAAAAAAACGCGCTAAAGACAAACTGTGTTATTATTTTTACAAAAATCTACTCTAATCGTCGAGGATGTCGTCGAGCCACTGCTCCAAGTCCGCGGATGGGGGCTCTCGAACACCTACAACAAAAAACCGTCATAAAAAAAATCGAACGAGGACTTTGGACTAGTACTGGTTTTCGGTGACTGTGGGGCTTCTACGTCGCTGTCGCCAGATGATGATTCGTCAGCGGCGTCGTCGTCTGACCCGAAAACAACATCCGGCTTCTTGCTTTGATGACTCTGTACGTAAGCATTATAATCGTTAATGTTATCGTCCAGAGCAGTCATTACTCTTTGTTGACTTTCCTGAAATAGCGCTTATCTCATTAAGCGCCTAAACAAAGTAATCGCACACGTACAGAGAAAATATCCTTGCTGATGCCACTCCTGACGTCGAAGGGTATCGTGGACAAACTCTTCTCAAGGAGGGTCAAATCCAACTTGAACAACGACGTCGTTACGGGCTCCGAGATTTCCAAGATGTCCTTGTCGCTCTTGAACTGGAAGTGGCTGCCGTGAGTTATGGGGGCGCTCGCCAGGACCGAGAAGTCCGTGCTGCTGTTGACTTTGTCGTCGACCTCTTTTAATTCGTAGCGGTCCCAGTTTGACTCGAGCGCTACTTTGGGTTTGGGGGCCTGCACGTGAACTGACGCTTTGTTCTTGTTGTATTTTCGCTTGTTAGTGCGGTGCTTCATGCCCCTGCCGAAAATTATTAACATTGTAGAGGTTTAAATTACACTAAAACGAACACCAACCGAGATTTTGAGTCGTCTTTATCCATGTCTCACGGTACTAGAGTGGTTTACTTTACAAAAAAAAATGTAAATGTAAATCGTTGTAAATATAACCTCACTTTTTTGTTATGACTTTTGTGTGTCTAAAGTTACGTTTGTTGTTAGAATCGTGGATGATTTTTTTTTATTTTTTACTACGTTGTATAGAATACTTATACTGGGGTTTGTTTCGTTTCAGCTGATGATTACTGTAATGTCGCATTAGTTGTGCCAGTAAATAAAATTAAATCCTCTTGCGTTGTGACTTTAGTCACTTCTGCATCCATGCTTGTTATTTTATTCTGTCATTTGTCAATTTCTGGCATTATAGTTTCGCTTTATACAGGGTGCGTGTGGTGTAAGGTGTAAACATGCTGTGATTATTTCGATCCCGTTTTATGTTTATCATTAACACTAGTAATTTTGTGGACGTGTTATCCTTTTTAACAACATGGTGAAATTATTTTGCAAACTGTGCCTCCAAAGTGTCGCTGGGGCGGAGTGGAAGTCCCACGCCGCACAAAAACAGCATCTCCAACAACTACCATGCAAAATAATGGTCCAAGGTACCATAAACAATTTTCTTTCTATTAGTAGATTAACATGTCCCGTTTAGGTTCTTTCAAACAAGAAGAAATAGACCGCTTGTATGAGTATTTCGGGCGATTCGGGGGCATAAGGGCCCAAAATGTGACAGTTGAAGGGGGCCAAACTTCAATAGAATACCGGTTTTGGGACGCCCGGGTTTATTCCGACGTCATCCACCACGTGCATTCGCTTTTCGGTAGCGAGGTGGAAGTCAGTTGGTTCAAAAAAGTCAAGTCCGGGCCTGTTCAGCACGTCGTTCAGGATGATAAAATGCGGAGAGGTAGGTGTTGGAAAAGGTTTTGGGTTGCGGTAGGCCACTGGTTGGCACCACTGATTGCAACCTGGCGTTACGTCAAATTAACTTGCCGCTGACGTTGCCGCTGACTTTTCAACCAATCAAATTGCGTTACTGTGCAGTGCTGCTAACTTGAAGGAAACTCCCCTGAAGTACGTGGGGGCACTAATATTAAGTCTTTTAATCACCTATTCACCGAAACCCTCATATTTTAATAGCTGACATCATTTTCTACACTGTACTCGACATTTAAATCAACAAGATTTATAGCCATTTGTCTCAAAAACAGATTAGTTATTTTCTCATTATACATTGTATTCTTGAAACCGCCCACCCGCCCTATCTCAATTGTGATGATTTTTTTTAATCGTCTAAAGCCAAAGAAGCGAAATTTAATTGCAAAATCCTTATTTCCTTACAAAAATTTACTATTTTAAATGTGTTTTAAGTTTTCAAGAATAAAAAAGTCATCACAATTGAGATGGGATGGGTGGGTGGGGTTCATATTTTGTTTTTTTTTTTTTTTTGTTAATACACAGTATTCTTTGAACAACACTACACTCAAAAATATGTTTTTAATTTCTTGTGAAGAAATAAGTATTTTGCAGTTAAGCTGGTTCACGAACAGAAAAAATCATTACATTTTAGATTGGGCGGGTGGGCGGGCCTACACTTTGGTCTTTTGTTGTAATATGTGTAGGCATCTTTTTACAACAAGAAACTTAAAACATGTTTAAACTGGTAAATTTGTAAGTATATTGATTTTGCAATTATGCTCCGCCCTTCTGTCTGACGACGAATGAAAAATTCGTCACGATTGAGATCGAGACGGATAGGTTTTAATTAATACATTTAGTTTTATTTGTATAACACGAGCACTTAAGAACGCACTTTGCAAGCTAATTTGTCGTAGAAGAATAGGATTTCACACAATTAAGCTCCGTCCCTCAGCTTACGATGAATAAAAAAAAATCATCAGAATTGAGATAGGGTGGGTGGGCGGGGCTTATATTTTGCCTTTTTTTCTTAAAAAAAGGCCATCATTTCACAAGAACCACCTTAGAAGTTTGAAATTATGAGGCGGAACCTAATTGCAAAATCGATATTTTCTTATACAGATTTTCCATTTTATATATGTTTTAAGTTTCATGTTGTGAAAAAAAGTCTTCACATATAAAACAAAAAAGCAAAATGTCTGCCCGCCCACCCACCCTGTCTCAATTGTGATGATTTTTTTTATTCGCTGTTAACCAAGAGAGCGGAGCTTAACTGCAAAATACGGATTTCTTTACAAGAAATTAAAAACATGTTTTTGAGTATGGTGTTGTTCAAAGAATACTGTTTATTTTAAGAAAAAAAAAAAAAAAAATCAAAATATTAATCCCGCCCACCCACCCCGTCTTAATTGTGTTGATTTTTTTTATTCTTACGAACTTAGAACACGTTCAAAATGGTAAATTTTTGTAGGGAAATAAGGATTTTGCAGATAAGCTCTGCCCCTCGGCGTACGACAAATAAAAAAAAAAATCATCAGAATTGAGATAGGGCGGGTGGGCGGGGCTTATATTTTGCCTTTTTTTTTCTTAACATACATAGCCATATTTTCACAAACAAGAAACTCAATCATGGTTTAAATGGTACATTTTTGCACGGATTTTGCAATTATGGGGCGGAGCCTAAATGTAGAATCGATATTTCCTTATACAAATTTTCCATTTTGAACATATTTTAAGTTTCATGTTGTGAAAAGAAGTCTACACATATTGAAACAAAAAGGCAAAATGTCAGCCCACCCATCCGCCCTATCTCAATTGTGATGATTTTTTTTATTCGTCGTGAGCCAAAGGGGCGGAGCTTAACTGTAAAATACTTTTTTCTTCACAAGAAATTAAACATATTTTTGAGTATCGTGTTGTTGTTCAAAGAATATCATGTAAATTAAGAAAAAAAGACAAAATATTAACCCCCGCCCCCCACACCATCTCAATTGTGATGATTTTTTTATTCTTACAGACTTGAAACACGTTTAAAATCGTAAATTTCTGTAGGGAAATAACGATTTTCCAGATAAGCTCTGGCCCTCGGCTAAGGACAAATACAAAAAAATCATAAGAATTGAGATAGGGCGGGTGGGTGGGGCTTATATTTTGCCTTTTTTTTTCTTAACATACATAGCCAATCTTTGCACAAACAAGGAACTTGATCATGGTTTAAATGGTACATTTTTGCACGGAGTTTGCAATTATGGGGCGGAGCCTAAAAGTAGAATCGATATCTCTTTATACAAATTTTCCATTTCAAACAAGTTTCATGTTATGAAAAGAAGTCTGCACATATTAAAACAAAAAGGCAAAATGTCAGCCCGCCCACCCGCCCTATTTCAATTGCGATGATTTTTTTTATTTGCCGTGAACCAAGGGGGCGGAGCTTAACTGCAAAATACTTCTTTCTTTACAAGAAATTAAAAGCTTTTTTGAGTATCGTGTTGTTGTTCAAAGAATATCATGTAAATTAAAAAAAAAAGACAAAATATTAACCCCGCCCACCCACCCCATCTCAATTGTGATGATTTTTTTATTCTTACAAACCTGAAACGCGTTTAAATTGGTAATTTTTTTTTAGGGAAATAAGGATTTCGCAGATTAGCTCTACCCTTCGGCTTACGACAAATAAAAAAAAAATCATCAGAATTGAGATAGGGTGGGTGGGTGGGGCTTATATTTTGCCTTTTTTTTCTTAACATACATGGCCATTTTTTCACAAACAAGAAACTCAATCATGGTTTAACTGGTACATTTTTGCACGGATTTTGCAATTATGGGGCGGAGCCTAAATGTAGAATCGATATTTCCTTATACAAATTTTCCATTTTAAACATCTTTTAAGTTTCATGTTGGAAAAGAAGTCTGCACATATTAAAACAAAAAGGCAAAATGTCAGCCCGCCCACCCGCCCTATCTCAATTGTGATGATTTTTTTTATTCGCCGTTAACCAAGAGGGCGGAGCTTAACTACAAAATACTTCTTTCTTTACAAGAAATTAAAAACAATTTTGAGTATCGTGTTGTTGTTCAAAGAATATCATGTAAATTAAAAAAAAAAAAATATTAACCCCGCCCACCCACCCCATCTCAATTGTGATGATTTTTTTAATCTTACAAACTTAAAACACGTTTAAAATGGTAAATTTTTGTATTGAAATTAGAATTTTGCAGATAAACTCTACCCCTCGACTATCGACGAATAAAAAAAAATCATCAGAATTGAGATAGGGCGGGTGGGCGGGGCTTATATTTTGCCTTTTTTTTTCTTAACATACATAGCCATCTTTGCACAAACAAGGAACTTGATCATGGTTTAAATGGTACATTTTTGCACGGAGTTTGCAATTATGGGGCGGAGCCTAAAAGTAGAATCGATATCTCCTTATACAAATTTTTCATTTCAAACAATTTTAAGTTTCATGTTATGAAAAGAAGTCTGCAGATATTAAAACAAAAAGGCAAAATGTCAGCCCGCCCACCCGCCCTATCTCAATTGTGGTGATTTTTTTTATTCGGCGTGAGTCAAAGGGGCGGAGTTTAACTGCAAAACACTTATTTCTTTACAAGAAATTAAACACATTTTTGAGTATCGTGTAGTTGTTCAAAGAATATCATGCATTTTTGTAGGGAAATTAGAATTTTGCAGATAAACTCTACCCCTCGGCTTACGACGAATAAACAAAAAATCATCAGAATTGAGATAGGGCGGGTGGGCGGGGCTTATATTTTGCCTTTAGTTTTTTAATATACATAGCCATCTTTTCACAAACAAGAAACTTGACCATGGTACATTTTTGCACGGAGTTTGCAATTATGGGGCGGAGCCTAAATGTAGAATCGATATTTCCTTATACAAATTTTCCATTTTAAACATGTTTTAATTTCATATTGTGAAAAGAAGTCTACACATATTAAAACAAGAAGGAAAATGTCAGCCCGCCCACCCACCCAATGTTAATTCTGATGATTTTTTTTTATTCGCCGTGAACCAAGTGGGCAGAGCTTAACAGCAAAATACTTATTTCTTTATAACAATATAAAACATTTTTAAGTATTACGTTGTTGTTCAAAGAATATCATGTAAATGAAGAAAAAGAGACAAAATATTAACCCCGCCCACCCACTCCATCTCAATTGTGATGATTTTTTTTATTCTTACAAACTTCAAAAAAAAAAAGGTTTAAAATGGTAAATTTTTGTAGGAAAAAAAGGATTTTGCAGTTAAGCTCCGCCCTCTTGACTCACGACGAATAAAAAGTCATCACAATTGAGATAGGGTGGGTGGGCGGGGCTTCATTTTGTCGTGTGTTCCTAATATGTGTATACTTATTTTGACAACAAAAAACTTAAAACATGTCTAAAATGGTAAGTTTATAAACGACAATTTGCAGCCATAAAAGCAACGTCAGTAGCAACAGCAACCCAACGCCAACTTAGTTCAGTTTATAAATCCCATTGTCACATTTCAGAGAAATTCGTCTACCGCAAACTCGCCATAATCAATAGCCTCAAAGAATTGCCAACCTTCGACGCGCAAGTCACGCTCTTCCAAAGCCAACTCAAAAGCGTCACGAGTGAGCTGGAGACCAACCGAAAACTGATTCAAGACGACTTGAGTGCCCCGTTAGCACCGAATTTCCCCCGCAGCAAAATCCACTTCTTCGGTTCGAGTATCATAGATTTAGACATCCACGACAGCGATTTAAACATGTACGTTGACAATACGGACTCTCAGTTGGCGACACTCGAAGTTATGAAAGATCTAATGACGAAAAGTGACTCGTTTACGAGAATTTCGGTAACCGAGACTGGTTCGATTCATTGCCAACACAAAAAGAGTAAAATTGATTGCCAAGTGATAATAAGGAACGAATTACCGGTTGGTAATAGCGAGTTGGTGAAGTTCTACTTGACGCTGGATGAAAAACTGAAACCTTTGATGCTTCTGATTAAGTTTTGGGTGGATTGTTGTGACTTGAGGCACGAAAATGGGTTTTCCAGTCACGCGATTTATTTAATGGTGCTGTTCTATCTGCAGCAAGACCCGTACAAGCTACCTAGTGTGATGGATCTCCAGAAAGAGCTACCTCCGGATGAGATCGATGGGTGGAATTGCGCGTTCGGTCCAGTCGAATTTACGAATGTGACTCTCGAATCTGCGACGTTGTTTGATTTGTTGGTCGGTTTTTTCAAATTTTATTGCAATTTCGACTATACTTCCAAGGTAATATCGCCTTATTTGGGGTCGACGATTGATAAAGTTAGTTTCGTGAAACCGTACGATCTTCCAGAGTGCTTTGAAGACTATCTAAATCAGGAGGAAGTTTTTGTTGTAAATTCGGGGTTTTGTGTCCAGGATGTGTTCGAACATTCGAAAAACGTGTCCTTTTCGGCTGATTTGTCGACTGCGGGAAGATTCACGGCTGCGTGTCGAAACTCGTTGCAACTGTTACGTACGGACACCAAAGACGTGTTATATAAATTATTGTTTAGTTCAGACAGTCTGAATGAGTTCTGTGTCAAAAATGAAGGTTTCTGTGATGTTGACACTGTTAAAAGTGTCGTTTTGACTATTTTGAGAGAGGTTTGTGGCTGCAAGGTCGAAGTGAAGGATGGAGATACAAGCGTCCTTTATAGCTGTCAAAGTAGAGTCAATATTTGGGACAACAGAATAGACGTTTTAAAAAAATTGATGACTGAATTGTCGCCTGATGCAACTCGAATTGAGAGAGAAGTGGCCGTGACGTCACACATTGTCAACAATAGTTCCGAAAGTGCGACGTGGAAAATGATGGTGTCGCTAAATTTTGACACGAATTCAAGTAGTGTGAACGTTAGTTTCGTGGAAGTCGAAAATGTGATGTCGATTTCGCACATTCAACATTTCGTCTACGTTAACTTAGTGGAGGGTTTAAATGACAAAAGTGGTGTTTCGAATTTTAAAGTTGAAGATGATGAGGTGGTTGCGGTTAAAATGGAAAAAACTGTTGATTTGACGCAAGAGTCGGTAAAAAGTGAAGATTTATCAGTGACCATTTCGGACACACAAGAAGATTTGGTTTTAGTTGAAACTCAAATAGAGAGTAGTGAAGAAGATCCAAGTTCAGGGGATCAAACCAAAACCGATAATTTGGCTTCTGTAGAGTCTGAAAACGTGTCTTCCGGTGACAATGAAACAGCTGAGACAGAACCCAGAGAAGATCCAGTTGTTGAAAATAGCGTCAGTGAAGAAACTTCAAATGTTGACGAAAGTAAAAATTTGACAACTGTAGACGATGTTGAGGGCTTTGCTGATATTGAAATGAAAGTTGAAACTGACGTGAATCTACAAGAACGCGTTAATGATGAAGACGCTGAAATTATAATAGTTTCCGACGATGTTGAAATGATAAGTGTTGATACAGAACAATCAGATATCGTTAGTGACGAAGATGCAGTTTCTGAAGTTGAAGACGATCATCAACATGCCAAAGATCTAAGTCAGGCGGAAAATTTGACCGAAGTTTCTCATGAGATTCCAACGACACTTGAAGAAAATTCTACATGTGTTGACACCAAAGACTCGCCAGTTATAAGTGCCGAAGATGCAGTTTCTGAAGGTGAAGACGATCATCAACATGCTAAAGATCAAAGTCAGGCGGAAAATTTGACCGAAGTTTCTCATGACATTTCAACGACACTCGAAGAAAATTCTGCATGTGTTGACACCAAAGACTCGCCATTTATAACTGACCTGAATGATATAGCTAATTCAACAGCTAGTGGTCCTGAGATGGAAACGTTTGACGAAAGCGTACAACATCTTGTTAATTGGGGTACCGAAGATAGTGATTTTGGTAAGTTATTGAAAAATCAACAACTATTATTTTCTGTTCACGATCTTTATATAGTAGGGTTGGCCAAGAAAATCTAGTGAGTTTGTTGGTATTTGATGCAGAAGAATAAAAATTCCCTGAACTTTATTCGTTATGTTATGTTTTATTAAATTAAAGGTTAAAAAATATGCCAGAAATATAAACATTGTTGCCGATATTTTCAGTTTTCTGTTGCAATGACCAAGTTAACGGTATCCATTTCTTAGAAAGCATAAAATTTTACGCTATTTAAAACAGTTATTCGGCTTTTTGTAAGTGTTTATTTCATATGTAAGGAACAAACACTAAAATTTCACTTAAACATTGTTTTTATATGAATGGGGGTTCAGCATACGACTATTGTCGCCACATTTAGTTTTCAATTTTTTGATTTTCCGATTTTTCGAATATATATTAGATTTTTAATATTTCAGTTTTTCGATGTTTCAGTGTTCAATTTTTAAATTTTCCATTTTTGATTATACAATTTCTCGGTGTTCGATTTTCCAATTTTTCGATCATTTAATTTCTGAGTTTTTCAATTTCTCAAATTTTTGATATTTTCCGATTTGAACTACTTTTCGTTTTCTCAATGTTCGGTTATTTTAATTTTTCGTTGTTTTCAATTTTGCGGTTTTCCGTTTCTCAATTTTTAATTTTTTGATTTTTCATTTTTGATTATACAATTTCTCGGTGTTCCGACTTTTCAGTTTTTCGATTATTTAATTTCTCGGTTTTTCAGTTTTTCAGATATTTCGGCTTTTCAATTTTTAGAAATTTTAGTTTTTCGTTGTTTTCAATTTTGTAACTTTTTTGTCTATGAGTTTTTAATTTTTAAGTTGTTAAATTTTTCGAATTCTGTTCGATGTGTCATTGTTACAATTTTTCGATTTTTCAATATTTTTTTTTCGATTTTTTCCCATTTTCCGATTTTTCAACTTTTGGTTGTTTTAATTTTTATTTGTGATATTTGCCAAAATCAGTCTTATCTTACCAAGTATTAGCCCCGCCCACCCACCCTTTACTTTTTTAGGGGATATGTCATTTGCCAAAATCAGTCTTATCTTACCAAGTAGTAGCCCCGCCCACCCGCCCCCTATTTTATCACAGGACATGTCATTTTTTCCATTTTTAAATTATAAGATATTTTAATTTTTCGTGGTTTTGAATTTATGTGATATTTCGTTTTATCACTTTATAATTTTTCGTTGTTTTCATTTTTGCCATTTTTCGTCTCAATTTTTAATTTTTGATTTTGCCGTTTTTAGATTTTTACATTTCTCAATTTGTCCATTTTCTATTTCTCGAATTTCAATTTTTGAACTTTTCGATATTTCATTTTTGCAATTTTTCAGTTTTCAATTTTTTGATTTTGCGATTTTTCGAATATGTATTAGACTTTTAATGTTTCAGTGTTCAATTTTTAAGTTTTCCATTTTTGATTATACAATTTCTCGGTATTCGATTTTCCAATTTTTCGATCATCTAAGTTCTGAGTTTTTCACTTTCTGAAATTTTTGATATTTTTCGATTTGAACTAATTTTCGTTTTCTCAATGTTCGGTTATTTTAATTTTTCGTTGTTTTCAATTTTGCGGTTTTCCGTTTCTCAATTTTTAATTTTTCGATTTTTCATTTTTGATTATACAATTTTTCGGTGTTCCGACTTTTCAGTTTTTCGATTATTTAATTTCTCGTTTTTTCACTTTTTCAGATTTTTCGGCTTTTCAATTTTTAGATATTTTAATTTTTCGTTGTTTTGAATTTTGTGATATTTCGTTTTATCACTTTATAATTTTTCGTTGTTTTCATTTTTGCCATTTTTCGTCTCTCAATTTTTTAGTTTTGATTTTGCAGTTTTTAGATTTTTACATTTCTCAATTTGTCCATTTTCTATTTCTCGAATTTCAATTTTTGAATGTTTCGATATTTCATTTTTGCAATTTTTCAGTTTTCAATTTTTTGATTTTCCGATTTTTCGAATATGTATTAGATTTTTAATGTTTCAGTTTTTCGATGTTTCAGTGTTTAATTTTTAAATTTCCCATTTTTGATTATACAATTTCTCGGTGTTCGATTTTCCAATTTTTCGATCATCTAATTTCTGAGTTTTTCAGTTTCTCAAATTTTTGATATTTTCCGATTTGAACTACTTTTCGTTTTCTCAATGTTCGGTTATTTTAATTTTTCGTTGTTTTCAATTTAGCGGTTTTCCGTTTCTCAATTTTTAATTTTTCGATTTTTCATTTTTGATTATACAATATTTCTGGAAAAATGAGGTTAATCGTTCATTCTTCGGAGGAAATTCTATTGTTAGACGAGGAGAGAGCATGTTTCGCTTCAACTTTTATATCATTGTTGAAATCTTAAATTCAAAAATCGAGAAATTGAAAAATCGGATCATTGAAAAATCGAAACATCGAAAAATTGGAAAATCGAAAAGTTAAAAAAAAAGATGGCAAATCGAAAATTTTAAAAATCCCGAAAATGGAAAAATTGAAATAAAGAAGAACCGAAACTCGAGAAATCAAAAATCTGGAATTTTAAAAATTGAAAAATTAAAATATGGAAAAGTTGAAAAATTGAGAAATCGAAATATAAAACAGCCGAAAATTGAAAAATCTAAAGTTTAAAAAACTAAAAAGTGAAAATCGGGAAATCGTAAGCTCATCGAATTTTTAATTTTGCATTTTTTCGATATTTTCCAATTTTTGAATTATTTTTCAAATTTTCAGTTCTAGTTGTGTTTTAATTTTTTGTTTTCAATTTTGCAATTTTTCGTCTCCCAATTTTTAATTTTAGATTTTTTAATTTTTTTGTTCTTCGATTTTCAATTTTTCAAATATCAGTGATTAAATTTTTCAATCTTGGATCGCTACTATTTTTCTATTTTTACTTTTTCTAATGCAAATTTTTGTTTTGCCAATTTTTAGATATATTTTAATTTGCGTTGATTTCATATTTACGATTTTTCATACATCAATTTTTAATTTTTCCAATTTCAATTCTGAGCTTATCGGTGTTTTATTGTTGCAATTTTTCGATTTTTTTATTTTTAAAATTTTCTGATTTTTAAATATTTTTTTATTTTTCAATATTGCCACGTTTTGTGTCCCAAATTTTAGTTTTTAATTTTTCTTTTTTTTTTGTTTCTTTAATTTTTCTTCGATTTTTCAAATACCTATGTATTAGATTTTTTAGTTTTTCAGCTCTTTGATGTTTCCGTGTTCCAATTGTTAGATTTTCATTCTTGATTATTCGGTTTCTCGTTGCTTCAAATTTTCAATTTTTCGATTATATAATTTTTCAGTTTCTCAATTTTTTGATTTTCGGTTCCTCAATTTTTTAGTGTTTTCGATTTTTATTTTCGCGATTTAATATTATTCGATTTTTCATTTGTAGCTATTTTAATGTTCGTTGTTTTTAATTTTGCGATTTTTCGTTTCTCTATTTTTAATTTTTAAGTTCAATTTTTCAATTATAAATTTATTTTCACTTTTTCAAATTCTTAAATTATTCGATGTTTCATGCTGCAAGTTTTCGATTTTGCATTGTCAGTTTTTTCCAATTTTTGAACTATTTTTCAATTTTTTAATTTTTAGTTATTTTAGTTTTATATTTTCAATTTTGCGATTTTTCGTTCCTCAATTTTTAATTTTCGGATTTTTCAATTTTTCTGTTCTTCAGTTTTCAATTTTTCCAATATCAGTTCTTAAACATTTCGAAGTTTCATTGTTGCAATTTTTCTATTTTTCAATTTTGCAGCTTTTCGATTTTAACTTTCTCGAATTGAAATGTTGCGACTTAGTGATTTTTAGATATATATTTTAATTTTCCGTTTATTTCAATTTTGCGATTTTTCAAATCTCAATATTTAATTTGACAATTTTGCAATTTTTAAGTTTTTCAATTCTTCAATTTTATATTTCTCCAATTTCAATTCTTGAATTTTTCGGTGTTTCATTGTTACAATTTTCCGATTTGTCGTTTTCCGGTTTTTAAACATTTTAAAATTTTCATGTTTTTTAAATGTCTCAATATTAAGATGTTTGTTTCTCAAATTTTATTTTTTGAATTATCAGTTTTTCGTTTCTTTAATTTTATGTATTAGATTTTTAATGTTTCAGTTTTTCGATGTTTCACTGTTCAATTTTTAAATTTCCCATTTTTGATTATACAATTTCTCGGTGTTCGATTTTCCAATTTTTCGATCATCTAATTTCTGAGTTTTTCAGTTTCTCAAATTTTTGATATTTTCCGATTTGAACTACTTTTCGTTTTCTCAATGTTCGGTTATTTTAATTTTTCGGTGTTTTCAATTTTGCGGTTTTCCGTTTCTCAATTTTTAATTTTTCGATTTTTCATTTTTGATTATACAATTTTTCGGTGTTCCGACTTTTCAGTTTTTCGATTATTTAATTTCTCGGTTTTTCACTTTTTCAGATTTTTCGGCTTTTCAATTTTAAGATATTTTAATTTTTCCTTGTTTTGAATTTTGTGATATTTCGTTTTATCACTTTATAATTTTTCGTTGTTTTCATTTTTGCCATTTTTCGTCTCTCAATTTTTAATTTTTGATTTTGCAGTTTTTAGGTTTTTGCATTTCTCAATTTGTCGATTTTCTATTTCTCGAATTTCAATTTTTGAACTTTTCGATATTTCATTTTGCAATTTTTCAGTTTTCAATTTTTTGATTTTCCGATTTTTCGAATATGTATTAGATTTTTAATGTTTCAGTTTTTCGATGTTTCAGTGTTCAATTTTTAAATTTTCCATTTTTGATTATACAATTTCTCGGTGTTCGATTTTCCAGTTTTTCGATCATCTAATTTCTGAGTTTTTCAATTTCTCAAATTTTTGATATTTTCCGATTTTTGAACTACTTTTCGTTTTCTCAATGTTCGGTTATTTTAATTTTTCGTTGTTTTCAATTTAGCGGTTTTCCGTTTCTCAATTTTTAATTTTTCTATTTTTCATTTTTGATTATACAATATTTCTGGAAAAATGAGGTTAATCGTTCATTCTTCGAAGGAAATTCTATTTTTAGACGAGGAGAGAGCATGTTTCGCTTCAACTTTTATATCATTGTTGAAAATCTTAAATTTAAAAATCGAGAAATTGAAAAATCGGATCATTGAAAAATCGAAACATCGAAAAATTGGAAAATCGAAAAGTTAAAAAAAAAGATGGCAAATCGAAAATTTTAAAAATCCCGAAAATGGAAAAATTGAAATAAAGAAGAACCGAAACTCGAGAAATCAAAAATCTGGAATTTTAAAAATTGAAAAATTAAAATATCGAAAAGTTGAAAAATTGAGAAATCGAAATATAAAACAGCCGAAAATTGAAAAATCTAAAGTTTAAAAAACTAAAAAGTGAAAATCGGGAAATCGTAAGCTCATCAAATTTTTAATTTTGCATTTTTTCGATATTTTCCAATTTTTGAATTATTTTTCAAAATTTCAGTTCTAGTTGTGTTTTAATTTTTTGTTTTCAATTTTGCAATTTTTCGTCTCCCAATTTTTAATTTTCGATTTTTTAATTTTTTTGTTCTTCGATTTTCAATTTTTCAAATATCAGTGATTAAATTTTTCAATTTTGGATCGCTACTATTTTTCTATTTTTGCTTTTTCTAATGCAAATTTTTGTTTTGCCAATTTTTAGATATATTTTAATTTGCGTTGATTTCATATTTACGATTTTTCATACATCAATTTTTAATTTTTCAAATTTCAATTCTGAGCTTGTCGGTGTTTTATTGTTGCAATTTTTCGATTTTTTTATTTTTAAAATTTTCTGATTTTTAAATATTTTCAATTTTTTTATTTTTCAATATTGCCACGTTTTGTTTCCCAAATTTTAGTTTTTGATTTTTCTTTTTTTTTTTTTAATTTTTCTTCGTTTTTTCAAATACCTATGTATTAGATTTCTTAGTTTTTCAGCTCTTTGATGTTTCAGTGTTACAATTGTTAGATTTTCATTTTTGATTATTCAGTTTCTCGTTGCTTCAAATTTTCAATTTTTCGATTATATAATTTTTCAGTTTCTCAATTTTTCGATTTTCGATTCCTCAATTTTTTAGTGTTTTCGATTTTTATTTTCTCGATTTAATATTATTCGATTTTTCATTTGTAGCTATTTTAATGTTCGTTGTTTTTAATTTTGCGATTTTTCGTTTCTCTATTTTTAATTTTTAAGTTCAATTTTTCAATTATAAATTTATTTTCACTTTTTCAAATTCTTAAATTATTCGATGTTTCATGCTCAAGTTTTCGATTTTTCATTGTCAGTTTTTTCCAATTTTTGAACTATTTTTCAATTTTTTAATTTTTAGTTATTTTATTTTTATATTTTCAATTTTGCGATTTTTCGTTCCTCAATTTTTAATTTTCGGATTTTTCAATTTTTCTGTTCTTCAGTTTTCAATTTTTCCAATATCAGTTCTTAAACATTTCGAAGTTTCATTGTTGCAATTTTTCTATTTTTCAATTTTGCAGCTTTTCGATTTTAACTTTCTCGAATAGAAATTTTGCGACTTAGTGATTTTTAGATATATATTTTAATTTTCCATTTATTTCAATTTTGCGATTTTTCAAATCTCAATATTTAATTTGACAATTTTCCAATTTTTAAGTTTTTCAATTCTTCAATTTTATATTTCTCCAATTTCAATTCTTGAATTTTTCGGTGTTTCATTGTTGCAATTTTCCGATTTGTCGTTTTCCGGTTTTTAAACATTTTAAAATTTTCATGTTTTTTAAATGTCTCAATATTAAGATGTTTGTTTCTCAAATTTTATTTTTTGAATTATCAGTTTTTCGTTTCTTTAATTTTATGTATTAGATTTTTAATGTTTCAGTTTTTCGATGTTTCACTGTTCAATTTTTAAATTTCCCATTTTTGATTATACAATTTCTCGGTGTTCGATTTTCCAATTTTTCGATCATCTAATTTCTGAGTTTTTCAATTTCTCAAATTTTTGATATTTTCCGATTTTTTGAACTACTTTTCGTTTTCTCAATGTTCGGTTATTTTAATTTTTCGTTGTTTTCAATTTTGCGGTTTTCCGTTTCTCAATTTTTAATTTTTCGATTTTTCATTTTTGATTATACAATTTCTCGGTGTTTCGACTTTTCAGTTTTTCGATTATTTAATTTCTCGGTTTTTCAGTTTTTCAGATTTTTCGGCTTTTCAATTTTTAGATATTTTAGTTTTTCGTTGTTTTGAATTTTGTGATATTTCGTTTTATCATTTTATAATTTCGTTGTTTTCATTTTTGCCATTTTTCGTCTCTCAATTTTTAATTTTTGATTTTGCTGTTTTTAAATTTTTACATTTCTCAAATTGTCGATTTTCTATATCTCGAATTTCAATTTTTGAACTTTTCGATATTTCATTTTTGCAATTTTTCAGTTTTCAATTTTTTGATTTTGCGATTTTTCGAATATGTATTAGATTTTTAATGTTTCAGTTTTTCGATGTTTCACTGTTCACTTTTTAAACTATCCATTTTTGATTATACAATTTCTCGGTGTTCGATTTTCCAATTTTTCGATCATCTAATTTCTGAGTTTTTCAGTTTCTCAAATTTTTGATATTTTCCGATTTGAACTACTTTTCGTTTTCTTAATGTTCGGTTATTTTAATTTTTCGTTGTTTTCAATTTTGCTGTTTTCCGTTTCTCAATTTTTCATTTTTCGATTTTTCATTTTTGATTATACAATTTTTCGGTGTTCCGACTTTTCAGTTTTTCGATTATTCAATTTCTCGGTTTTTCACTTTTTCAGATTTTTCGGCTTTTCAATTTTAAGATATTTTAATTTTTGGTTGTTTTGAATTTTGTGATATTTCGTTTTATCACTTTATAATTTTTCGTTGTTTTCATTTTTGCCATTTTTGGTCTCTCAATTTTTAATTTTTGTTTTTGCAGTTTTTAGATTTTACATTTCTCAATTTGTCGATTTTCTGTTTCTCGAATTTCAATTTTTGAACTTTTCGATATTTCGTTTTTGCAATTTTTCAGTTTTCAATTTTTTGATTTTGCGATTTTTCGAATATGTATTAGATTTTTAATGTTTCAGTTTTTCGATGTTTCAGTGTTCAATTTTTAAATTTTCCATTTTTGATTATACAATTTCTCGGTGTTCGATTTTCCAATTTTTCGATCATTTATTTCTGAGTTTTTCAATTTCTCAAATTTTTGATATTTTCCGATTTGAACTACTTTTCGTTTTCTCAATGTTCGGTTATTTTAATTTTTCGTTGTTTTCAATTTTGCGGTTTTCCGTTTCTCAATTTTTAATTTTTCGATTTTTCATTTTTGATTATACAATTTCTCGGTGTTCCGACTTTTCAATTTTTCGATTATTTAATTTCTCGGTTTTTCACTTTTTCAGATTTTTCGGCTTTTCAATTTTAAGATATTTTAGTTTTTCGTTGTTTTGAATTTTGTGATATTTCGTTTTATCACTTTATAATTTTTCGTGGTTTTCATTTTTGCCATTTTTCGTCTTTCAATTTTTAATTTTTCGATTTTTCATTTTTGATTATACAATTTTTCGGTGTTCCGACTTATCAATTTTTCGATTATTTAATTTCTCGGTTTTTCACTTTTTCAGATTTTTCGGCTTTTCAATTTTTAGATATTTTAGTTTTTCGTTGTTTTCAATTTTGTGATTTTTTTGTCTATCAGTTTTTAATTTTTAAGTTGTTAAATTTTTCGAATTCTTTTCGATGTGTCATTGTTACAATTTTTCCATTTTTTAATATTCTGTTTTTTCGATTTTTTCCCATTTTCCGATTTTTCAACTTTTGGTTGTTTTAATTTTTATATGTGATATTTGCCAAAATCAGTCTTATTCTACCAAGTAGTAGCCCCGCCCACCCGCCCCCTATTTTTTCACAGGACATGTCATTTTTCCATTTTTCAATTATAAGATATTTTAATTTTTCGTTGTTTTGAATTTTGTGATATTTCGTTTTATCACTTTATAATTTTTCGTTGTTTTCATTTTTGCTATTTTTCGTCTCTCAATTTTTAATTTTTCGATTTTGCAGTTTTTAGATTTTTACATTTCTCAATTTGTTGATTTTCTATTTCTCGAATTTCAATTTTTGAATTTTTCGATATTTCATTTTTGCAATTTTTCAGTTTTCGAATATGTATTAGATTTTTAATGTTTCAGTTTTTCGATGTTTCAGTGTTCAATTTTTAAATTTTCCATTTTTGATTATACAATTTCTCGGTGTTCGATTTTCCAATTTTTCGATCATTTAATTTCTGGGTTTTTCAATTTCTCAAATTTTTGATATTTTCCGATTTATGAACTACTTATCGTTTTCTCAATGTTCGGTTATTTTAATTTTTCATTGTTTTCAACTTTGCAGTTTTCCGTTTCTCAATTTTTAATTTTTCGATTACTTAATTTCTCGGTTTTTCACTTTTTCAGATTTTTCGGCTTTTCAATTTTTAGATATTTTAGTTTTTCGTTGTTTTTAATTAATAAATAAATGAAGTAGAAAAGTGGCAATCCAGCTCAAAGCAAATGTCAATCAGACTACTGACAGACAAAAAACTAAATCATCAAATCAGTTTATCCAACTTAAAGAAAAAATATCAAAGCCTACTTTACTATATAAAGATCGTGAATAATTTACATTTATTTTATATATTTGCTTAATTTTTGTGCAGACTTCGCCCAGTTCACACAGAAAGTGGCAAACGCCGTCAAAGATCTGCCAACTTTCGACGAACAACTCGCCGTTTTTGTCAATCAAGTACGCGACGACGCAGCTGAAGTAAAAAAAAATTCTTCGATTGTTTGTGACGATTTGACCGCAGCTTTGGACTCGCTCTCGCCTGGCCACAAAGTACACTTACATAGCGAGGTGGCCACGGGTTTGCTAATCCACGACAATCACATAGAAATGTATTTGGAAGAACCGGAAGAAAATTTGAAACCACAAGCGATAAAATACGCACTCGTTCAAAGCGGAAAATTTTACGTGATTTTAAACGCACATTGTCCAGAGTGGACAATTACATTTAGGCACGTAGAAACTAAGATTAAGTGCAGGTTGACCAATGGAAATATATTAGCGTTGAGGAAAAGCGAGTTGCTTCAGTATTATTTGAGTTTGGATGAAAAAATATATTCGTTGGTTTTGTTTATCGCGTTTTGGACGATGTGTTACAAGATTGCTAGATTCTCACCGCAAGCTGTGTACATGCTGGTGATTTTTTATTTACAACAAGAACCGTACAAATTACCGTCGGTGGTGGAGCTTCAGAGGGACGTAGTTCCGGAAATGGAACGTGGGTGGAATTGCGCTTTCGCGCCTCAGGAGTACACAAACGACGAGCTTGAGAATGCCACAATCGACGACTTGGTGTTCGGTTTCTTCAAGTTCTACGAAAATTTCGACTATTTTGATTATGTTGTGTCGCCGTATTTGGGTTATGCTGTTAAGAAAACTTGCTTCATGGAGCCTTTTGATTTGCCGGAAGATTACAATAAACGAGGTTTGATGCTTCCAGTGAAACGAACATGGTGTACGCAGGACCCGTTCGAACATACGAAAAATTTAGCCAGTCCTTTGTTAACTCCAGAAAGTTGTAGGAGATTTCTGGCTTTGTGTAGTACCAGTTTGGAGTTTTTTTCGCAAGGTGAAAACCAACTTCTCCACCGTCTCGTTCTTGGCGCGCAACGACTGCCACTAAATAGTGGCTCGTTTTACATATATAAAGACAGCGAAGAAGATTTTGCCGAGTGGAGGAGATTCGTTAAGCGCGTGATTTTAGCAACGTTATGCGAAGTTTTAGCTTGCACTTTCACTGAAGGTCCGAGTGCTGAGCCGCTGAAGTTCAAAGTCAAGTCGAAATGCCCGGTTCTTGAGAACAGAATGGTAGCTTCGAAGAAAGTCGGTGATTTCCCGTCCGATATGGGTGAACTCGAGAAAGAAATTCATTTGACTTCTCACATTGTTAAGGAATTTTCAGCGAAAAAGTACTGTATGCAGAGTGTCGTGGACGTGGTTTTCGTTCCTGACCCGTGGAGGGTTAAAATTGTGATAAGTTGTAAACAACGCGGGATTATACATATCGACCAGTTTTTGAAAATTAAGTTGGGGAGGTTTTTGGAGGAGCGGGAGAAGACGGAGGAGTTTTTGGGGAGAAGATTTTCTGGTGATGCTGTGGATGGTAAGTTTTTCGCGTTACGTATTGTTGAAAAGAGTTTTTTCCTTTTTCGTACAAAAAATCCTATAGAACGGTTTAGTATAATTTATGCAAATTCTAACTATTTGCCGAGATTTTTTGACAATATAAAATTGTCATCAAAGCCAACATTTGCATTACAGAAGTTTAATTTGACTTCCTGGTGTCTTTCGTTTTGTTGCAATCAATATTTCTTATTAATTTTATTTTCCAAAAAAATGGTTTCCATAATATCTTTTTGCTTTTTTTGGTGGATTTTTTCCTCGCCCGTTTTTATTTTTTTTGGGCGCCTTTTTTTGTCAACCTTCTCCTCCCGTCTTTTTATGTGGATTTTGTTTTCGTTCTTTTTGTTCCTTTTTTTTGTCACTTTTTGTCTGATTATATCTTATTTTAATGTCCCCCGTTTTAGACCGTTTTTTTTTTTTGTTTTTTGGTCGTGTACTTTTGTCTTCCTTATTTATCGCCATTTTTCGTCGACTTTTTCCATCTTTTTTAGTGCGCCTTTTTTCAGCCGTTTCTCCCCTTTTTGCTGCTTTTTTTATATTTTTGTATCTTTTTGGATATTTTTGTCATCGTTTTGCCTTTTGTTATTCGCTTTTTTTGTCAATTTTGTTGTTTTTGGGTAGATTTTCTTCGCTCTTTAGACGTGTTTTTTTGACTCCCTTTTTTATCGACTTTTTATCGTCTGTTTCCACGTTTCAATGCCCTTCCTTCCCCCTTTGTTAAATTTTTTGGTGAGTAGTGATCGTTTTTTCATTATTTTTGAGGCTTTTGGCGTTTTTTTAAATCACTTTTTGTCATATTTTTTGAGTTCTTTTTATTATTTTTGTTTCCCCAATTTTGCGCATTTTCTATTTATGAACTTTTGTGCCTTATTTGATCACATTTTTTGTAGACATTTTTTGTTGTTGATTTTTTCATCGTTTTTTTTTGTCTTCTTTTTTGTTACTTTTTTAGCATGTTTTTTGCCGGTTTTTTTGGTTCTCCTTTTTGACACTTTTTTTGTTTTTTTGTCACCTTTTTTTGTTACTTTTTTTGTATCCTCCGTTTAGTCTTTTTTTGTATTTTGATCGTGTTCTTTTGTTTTTCCTTTTTGTCGGCATTTTCTGTCCACTTTTTTCCAACTTTTTTCGTGAACCGTTATTCAGCCCTTTCTCCCCCTTTTCCTGCAGTTTTTTGCCATTTTTATTGTTTTTTGTCGCTTTGTCAACTTTGTGTATTTTTTGTTAATTTTTGTATATTTTTATCGGTTTTTGTGTTTTTAAAAGTTTTTTTTATTGACTTGTCGCGATTTTTTTCTTTTCTTTTTTTTCTGGTCATTTTTATAGCCTTTGGTTTACCGCTTTTATGTCACCTTTTTTTGTCTTTCCCTTTATTTTGTCGTCCTTTTTTCTGCCTTTTGTTAGTCGCATTCCTTGTGGACCTTTTTTCTGACTTTTTTGTGTTTTCTTTCGCGTTTTGTCGTTTTTTTTTTGGCGCTTTATTTTTTGCCGATTTTGTTTTTTTTTTTGCACATTTTTTGTCGTTTATTTATCGCTTTTTGCCTTTCCTTCTTTCTTTAGACTTGTTCTTTCAAACCCTTTTTTTTTCTCCCTCCTTTTTGCTAAATTTTTTGGTGGCGTTTTTGTCAAGTCTTTCATCGTTTTTCGTCTTTTTTGTGGCTTTTGGCGATTTTTAAATCACTTAACACATTTTTTGTATAATTTTTATTTTTTTTTGCCATGATTTTTTGTACCCTCAATTTCTTGTGTCCTCAATTTTTTGTGCATTTTCTTCCCATTTTATCGACTTTTAGGTCTATTTTTGGTACTTTTTTTAGAATTTCTTGTTGTTTCTTTATTGGTTTCCCTTTTTAACACTTTCCTTCATTGTTTTTGTCACCTTTTTGCTCCTTTTTTTGTCAACCTTCCCTCTCCCATCTTTTTATGTGGATTTTTTTTCGTCCTTTTTGTTCCTTTTTTGTCATATTTTATCTTTTTTTTAATCCTCCGTTTTAGTGTTTTTTTTTTTGGTGATGTTCTTGTGTTTTCCCTTTTTGTCGGCATTTTCTGTCCACTTTTTCCCATCTTTTTTCGTGCCCTTGATTCAGCCCTTTCTCCCTCTTTTCCTGCAGTTTTTTTGCAAGTTTTATTGTTTTTTGTCGCTCATTTTTCGTCACATTTTTTTTGTATTTTAATCGGGTTTTGTGTTTTTTATTTTTTTTTATTAACTTGTCGCGATTTTTTCTTTTCTTTTTTCTGGTAATTTTTTTTATAGCCTTTTGTTTACCGCTTTTTTGTCGTCCCTTTTTATGCCTTGTATTAGGCGCATTTTTTGTGGATCTTTTTTCTGACTTTTTTTGTGTTTTCTTTTCTTTTCTTTGTATTTTTTGGCGCTTTATTTTTTTTGCACATTTTTTGTCGTTCATTTATCGCTTTTTTGCCTTTTCTTCTTTCTTTAGACTTGTTCTTTTGACTCCTTTTTTTTCGATGTTTTGTCGCCTTTTTTCCGCGCTTTTAAATCCTTTTTTTTTCTAAGCCTTTTTTGCAAAATTTTTAGGTGGCGTTTTTGTCAAGTCTTTCATCGTTTTTCGTCTTTTTTTGTGGCTTTTAGCGTTTTTTAAATCGCTTCTTAACACATTTTTTGTGTAATTTTTATTTTTTTTGCCATGATTTTTTGTGTCCCCAATTTTTTGTGCATTTTCTTCCCATTTAATCGACTTTTAGATCTTCCTTTTTTCTGTCTTCTATTTGATCGTATTTTTTGTCAACATATTTTGGTTGATTTTCCTAGTTTTTTTGTCTTCTTTTTTTGATATTTTTTGTTGTTGTTTTTTTTTTAGTTTTTAGTTGTTTTTTTTAGTTTTTTGTTTTTTGTTCCCTTTTGACACTTCTTCCTTGTTTTTGTATTTTTTGTTATTTTTTTGATATTTTTATCCGTGTTTGTGTTTTTTAAATATTTTTTTATTGACTTTTTGTCGTGATCTTTTTTCTCTTTTTTTTTCATTTTTATAGCTTTTTATTTGCCGCTTTTTTGTCACCTTTTTTGTCTTTCCCTTTTGCTTTTTTTTTGTGGTTTTTTTCCTCGCCCTTTTTTTGTCGTCTTGTTTTTGGTCCCTTTTTTGTCAACCTTCCCCCTCTCATTTTTTATGTAGATTTTATTTTCGTTCTTTTTGTTCCTTTTTTGTCATATTTTATCTTTTTTTTTATCCTCCGTTTTAGTCGTTTTTTTGGTCGTGTTCTTTTGTTTTGCCTTTTTGTCCGCATTTTTTGTCGAATTTTTCCTTCTTTTTTCGCACGCGTTTTTTCAGCTCTTTGTCCCCTTTTTGCTGCAGTTTTTGGGGATTTTTATTGTTTTTTGTTGCTCATTTTTTGTCACCAGATTTTTGGAAAAAAAAATCAAAGCTATAAAACAACAGTTTGCAATTTAATTTTGAATCTGCTAAACCGAGTGCTTTGAAATCTTGCAGATGTTTGAAGGTTATATAGAGCATAATACATTTTTAGTCAAAATATATTTGCTTATCCTATATCGCAATTTTTGGTTTTTTCTTTTTTCTTTTTTCAATTTTTTGATTTTTCAATGTTTCGACTTGTTATAAATTTTCGTTTATTCAAGTTTCATTTTTTCAATTTTACAATTTTTCGTCTCTCCAATGTTTCGATTTGCTATTTTTCACTTTTGCAATTTTTTATTTTCGATTTTTTACTTTTTTTTTATTTTTTGTTTCTTCATTTTTTCAAGTTTTTAATTTACAATGTTTCATTTTCTCGATTTTTAATTTTTCAATTTTTCGTTTTTTCGTTTTCTTAGTTGTTCAATTTTTCAGTATTGGGATTTTTCTCTATTTCGATATTTCGATTGTTCAATTTCTTGTATGTTCAAACTTATCTTTTTTTCAATTTAAAAAATGTTTCAATTTTCGACTTTTCAATCTTTCGACTTCTCATTTTTAAAAAAATTTTCAATTTTCAAGTTTCAATCTTTCGACTTTTCAATTTTTCGGCCTCTAGATTTCTCGATTTTTTGATGTTTCCTTTCTCGATGTTTCAATTTGTAATTTTTCCATGTTCTGATTTTTCACTTTTCGGTTCTTCAATTTTCCTATTTTTCAGTTTCTCGATCTTTTAAATTTTGGATTTTTCGATTTCTCAACTTTAAATTAAAGACCTTTAAATTTTAGAATTTGCAATTTTCAATATTCTTCAATTTTTGAAATTTAGATTTTTAATTTTTTTTTTCAGATTTTTCAATGTTTCAACTTCTCGATCTTTTGATGTTTCAGTTTTCGATTTCCCAATTTTCCGTCTTTTCAGTTCTGGAATTTTTCAATTTTTCGATTTCAATTTTGGGTTTTTCGATTTCTTGACTTTGAATTAAAGGTTTTTAAATGTTAGATTTTTCGATTTTTTAATATCGTCTCAAAGTTTTTTCTTTTTTCGTATTCAAGGTTATAGATCTTGATGTGCTGGTTCTAAAAATATAGGGTGTTAGGATCGGGCGTCAAAATTTTCGAAATATTCGGGGTGAAATGCTAATTTTTCGAAATTTTTAAAAATTAGGATTTCAATTGGCGATTTTGGAAATAATTTTTTTTTAAAAATCTGAATTTATTTATCTTTGAGGAACAATTTTTCGTTTTTTCATTTTCTTTCATTTTCAGTTTTCGGATTTTACAATTTTTCATTTTTCGATTTTTAAGTTGCTCGTTTTTAATTTTTCGTTTCCTGAATGTTTCTATTTTAGTTTTTCATATTCTCCATTTTTCATTTTCATTTTCTCGATTTCATGTCGCAATTTTCCCTTTTTACAATTTCTTTATTTTTTCAATAATTCTTTCAATTTATAATTTTAAATTGAAAATTGAATAATTGGTGGATTTTTCCTCGTTTTTTTGTTGTCTTCTTTTTTTTGGTACCGTTTTTTAATACTTTTTTGGGCCTTTTTTTTGTTATTTTTGACACTTTTGTTTTCTCCATTTTTTGTCACCTTTTTTTTTGTAACTTTTTTGCTCTCCCATTTTTCTGTTTTTTTTTTGTCATATTCGTTTATCTACGCCTTTTTTATCGTCGTTTTTGTCATTTTTTGTGGCTTCTTTGACGTTTTTCTTGTCCAGTGTAACAATCCAGACGTATTTTAACTTAGGTACAGAGATAAAAAAATAAACGAAATTCGTAAAATCAAATGTTATAATTTATATAAGAAATTGGATTGATTTGATTGTATTTAGTTGAGTTTCCGGGTGATGACGTGGCCTCTTTTTGAATTAACTGACGTTTTGATAGATTCTTGCTTTTTTATTCAAAATTTAGTGGAGGTAAACTGTCGTGAAGATTTCAAAAATATAGACCGTTAAATAATTGCTGAAAATTATTGTTATAAAATTATTGCGACATCAACTCTGTTCAAGTGTGTAAACCCACAACGATTTTTTTCTTTTCTAGCGAACTCACCACCGGCTATTTCTCCAGACATCCTGGACTATGTAAAAGAGGGCGCCACGTTCTCCGACCAAATCTTAATTTTGTATAACATCCTACTCACCGATCGCGCTGAAGTAGACAAAAATTACCAAATTATTTCACAAGACCTGACGTCAATCCTGACCGAGAAATTTCCAGACCATTCAATACACCCATACGGATCCAGATTCTTAAATTTAGACTTCGCCGACAGCAGTTACGACATCTACATCGATCTAGGAACGACCAACAGTCAAAAAGAGTTGGAAAATTTGTTTTTAAATTGTGGCAAATTTTGCAACATTTCGACTTCCGAAGACTCGATTAAATGGCGACACGTTGAAACTCAGGCGACTTGCGTGCTTAACTTAAGCAACAAATTAAGCTTGAAGACAACCAATCTGATTAAATATTACTGCAGCCTCGATGAAAAAATCCCCGTGTTAATGAAAATTGTGAAATTTTGGAACCTAAAATACGAACTAGCTATCAGCAGCTACGCTTTGTGTCTGATGGTGATTTATTACCTCCAAGATGCCCCCTACAAGGTACCTTCAGTCAAGCAGTTGCTGATTCCGCGTTCCGAAGGCGATTTTCAACCAGTCGAATTTAGTGACGAAAATTTGAAGAGAGAAGGAATTTGTGAGCTACTGCGCGGATTTTTCCGGTTTTATTCGAGTTTTCGTTATCTGTCTAACGTTGTGTCGCCATTGTGCGGCTTTCTTGTCGACAAACGCTCCTTTTTGAATTCCTCCAGAGAGCCAGATTGGTATCAACACTACATTCAAGCAACCGGCGATTTCACCCTAAATTGTGGATTTTGTATCCAGGATCCGTTTGAACATAGTAAGAACGTTAGCGCTGCTATATCCAGAGAAGAGTCCGGAGAGTTCGCTGCGATGTGTCGCTCAGCCGTTCAAGCATTCGCTGAAAATCTAACCTCTTTGTTTAGTCTTCGTCGTGACAAAATCTTCGGTACTTGTCGTATCGAAAATGATAAATTTTGGAGGGATTTTGTCGAAGTTAACGCGTTAAATATAATGCGGGGGGTTCTGGGGTGCAGTCTCATTGAAAGTTGTACGGTTGGTGGTGTGACGAAGTATGTGGTGTATCAATGGGTTAATATCTGGGATAATTGGATTGAGGTTTTGAAGCAGTTGCCGGCGGAGAAACGTGATGATGGTGACGTTACCCAGCACATTTTGAAGAATCAAGCACTTGTGGCGTATAATATGGTTCAAGTGGAGTTAAGGTTTTCTGAAAATCCGTTCAAAGTGGATTTGGTGGTGAAAGGGAACGACAAGTCGCACTTTGTTCATGTGCTGTACACCAAATTGTTGATGGTGCCAACAGAACCAGGTAAATCGAAATCCTGCAGAAACCCTTATTTTTTTCCCGATTTTTTTACCATTTTTTATTAATTTTTTGCGAAGTTTGTGTTATTTATATGTGCAGTTTGAGCATTTTTTTAACTGATGTAGACTTTTGGATTTTGAAAATTTTTCAATTTCCTGATTCAGGATTTTTTAGTGTTTTTTTTTTATTTAATTTTGCAATTTTTCGATTTGTAGTTTTAGAATTTTCAATTTAACATTTTGAATTGATGGATTTTTCAAATTTTGAATTTTCGATTTGTAGTTTTACGAGTTTTCAATTTAACATTTTGAATTGATGGATTTTTCAAATTTTGAATTTTCGATTTGTCGATTTTCCAGAAAATGATCAAAAATCTCTTAGTTTACTGATTTTTAAAACTGAGGAAAAAGTTCTGGATTAAAAAAAAATCAATTATTTGATTATTTAATTTTTCATATTTTCAACTTCTGCATTTTTCGATTTTTCGAAACTTGAATTTTTCGATTTTAATTGTTAAAATTTCTGTTTCCCAATTTTTCACTTTGAATTTTTGAATTTCTGCATTTTTCGTGTTTTCGGCTCCTGGATTTTTCAATTCTTCGATTTTCCGTTTTTTATTTTTAAAGTTTTCTGTTTTAAATTTTACAGTTTCAAAATTTTTCACTTTCTGAATTTTTCGTGTTTTCAACTTCGGAATTTTTCAATTCTTCGAATTTTTGTCGATGTTTCAATTTTTAGATGTATATTTTAATTTTTCGATTTTCAACTTTCGGATTTTTCAAATTTTCAGTCGGTTTTTCAATCTTCATCCTTAAAACGGATACGATACAACTACTGAGGAACTAAATGGAAAGAGAGAAGAATAATAATAACTCTTGCACTGAAAAAACATGACATTTTTATGGATTTTTTTGTTTCTCGATTTTTCGAGTTTTGAATTTTCCAATTTTTCGTTTCGTCAATTTTTCGATTTAATTTTTCAATTTTTCGTCTTTTCAATGTTTCAAATTTTCAAATTTCTGAATTTTTCGTGTTTTCAAGTTCTGGATTTTCCAATTTTTCAACTTTTAGATAAGTATTTTAAACTCGATTTTCCGTTTTTCCGATTCAACTTTTCGAGTTTTCAATTTAAAATTTTTCAAGTTTTGATTTTTTCAGTTATGTATTTGATTTTTCAATTTTCCGATTTTTATTTTTAAAGTTTTGTTTTAAATTTTACAGTTTCAAAATTTTTCACTTTTGAATTTTTCGTGTTTTCAACTTCTGAATTTTTCAATTCGTCGAATTTTTAGATGTATATTGTAATTTTTCGATTTTCCGTTTCTTCAATTTTTCCAATTTTCAGTTTAAAATGTTTCAATTTTTCGATTTTCAGCTTTCGGATTTTTCAAATTTTCAGTCGATTTTTCGATCTTCATCCCTTTTAATCTCTCGTTGTTTCCATAGAAAAAGCATTTTTCGATTTTTCGTTTCAATTTCCGTATTTGAAATTGTTCAATTTCTGAATTTTTCAATTTTTAGAAATTTCAATTTTTCGTTCTGTCAATGTTACGATTTTTTTAATTTTTTTTTTTAATTTCACGATTTTGCGATTTTTCAATTTCTCGAAAGTTCAAATTTTAAATGTTTTAATTTTTCGTGTTTTCACTTACTCGTTTCTTCAATTTTTCGATTTTTTAATTTTAAAGTTTTCAAATTTTCCATTTTTGATTTCCGAATCTATCAATTTTTGGAATTTTTAATTTCTAGATATTTTAATTTTTCGTTCTTCCAACGTTTTCAATTTTCAATTTTACGATCTTTCGTCTAAATTTTTCAATTTCTGAATTTTTCGTGTTTTTAAGTTCTGGATTTTTCAGTTTTTCGATTTTTTTGGCGATTTGTCAACTTTTAGATATGTATTTGAATTTTTAAATTTTCTGTTTTCCCGTTTCAACTTTTCGAGTGTTCAATTTAAAATTTTTCAATGTTTGAATTTTTCAATTATTCGATTTTTTAATTTTTCGTATTTTAATTTTTAAAGTCTTGGGTTTTAAGTTTTACAATTTTTCAATTTCTGAATTTTTCAATTTTTCAAATATTCCGTTTTTTGATATGTATTTTAGTTTTCGATTTTTCGTTTCTTGAATTTTTCGACGTTTTAATTTAAAATTTTTCAAATTTTCGATTTTTCAATTTTTAGAAATTTCAATATTTCGGTCTGTCAATGTGCCGATTTTAATTTTTAAAGTTTTAGGTTTTAGATTATTCAGTTTGAATTTTTCAATTTTTCGATTTTTCATTTCCAAATCTATCAATTTTTGGAATTCTCAATTTCTAGGTATTTTAATTTTTCGTTCTTTCAATGTTTGAATTTTTCATTTTCAATTTCTGAATTTTTGGTGTTATAAAGTTCTGAATTTTCCCATTTTTCGATTTTTTTGTGGATTTGTCAACTTTTAGATATGAATTTTAATTTTTCGATTTTACGTTTCAACTTTTCGAGCTGTCAATTTAAAATTTTTCAATTATTTGATTATTTAATTCTTCATATTTTCAACTTCTGCATTTTTCAGTATTTCAAAACTTGAATTTTTCGATTTTAATTCTTAAAGTTTTCGGTTTTACAATTTCCCAATTTTTCACTTTTGAGTTTTTTAATTTCTGAATTTTTCGTGTTTTCAGCTCCTGCATTTTTCAAATTCTTCGATTTTCCATTTTTTCAATTTTTCCAGTTTACATTTAAAATTTGTCAATTTTTAGATTTTCAATTTTTCAGTCGGTTTTTCACAATCTTCATCCGTTTTAATACCTCATTCTTTCTATTGAAAAACCATAATACATTTTTCGATTTTTCGTTTCTTCAGTTTCTGCATTTGAAATTGTTCAATTTTCCAATTTTTCGATTTTATAAATTTTCGTATTTTCAACTTCTGGACTTTTCAATTTTAAATTCAGTTGTTAAATATTTTAATTTCTCCTGTTTTCACTTATTCGTTTCTTTATTTTTCGACTTTTTAACTTCTGAATTTTTCAATTTTCGATTTTTTATTTCTAGATACATATATTAATTTTTCGTCAATTTTCAATTTTACAATGTTTCCTCTAAATTTTTCTGTTTCTAAATTTTTCGTGTTTTCAAGTTCTAGATTTTCCGATTTTTCGAAATTTGATTTTTTCGATTTTAATTTTTAAAGCTTTCGGTTTTAAATTTTACGATTTCCCAATGTTTCACTTTTGAATTTTTGAATTTCTGAATTTTTAGTGTTTTCACCTTCTGAATTTTTGCAATTCTTAGAATTTTTAGATTTGTATTTTAATTTTTCAATTTCCAACTTTTGGATTTTTCAATTTCCGTTTTAATTTCGCGTTCTTTCCATTAAAAAAGCATGATACATTTTTCGATTTTTCGTTTCTTCAATTTTTCGAATTTTATATGTCAATTTTTAGAAAGTTTTTGGATATTTTTATTTTTTGACTTTTCAATTTACTCATTGCTTCCAATTTAAAATTTTTCAATTTTCCAATTTGATTTTTTTTTAATTGTTTGATTTTTCCGAATTTTTCATTTTATAAATTTTCGTGTTTTCAAATTCTGGACTTTTCCAGTTTTTAGAAATTTCAATTTTTCGTTCTGTCAATTTTGCGATTTACAGTTAATCGTTTTAAATTTTTCAGTTTCTGAATGTTTCATGTTGTTTTCAACTTCTAGATTTTTCAATTTTTTGATTTTTTTGTCCATAATTTTTCGATTTTCTGTTTCAACTTTTCGAGTTTTCAATTTAAAATTTCTTCGGTTTTTCAATCATCATCCGTTTTAATTTCTCGTTCTTTCCATTGAAAAAGCGTGATACATTTTTCGTTTCTTCAATTTTTGTAGATAAAGTTGTTCAATTTATCGACTTTTGAATTTGTCGATTTTTCGGATGTTCATTATATTTTAATTTTTAGATTTTCATTTTACTCATTTATCCATTTTAAAATTTTTCAACTTCTGTATTTTTGATTTTTTAATCTTTCGTTTTTTAATTTTTCAATGGAAAGAACGAGAAATTAAAACGGATGAAGATTGAAAAACTGACTGAAAAATCGAAAAATCGAAACATTGAAAAATCCAGAAGTTGAAAACACCAAAAATTCAGAAATTGAAAAATTTCTACGAAAAATTGTAAAATTGAAACATTGAAAGAACGAAAAATTAAAATAAATGTCTATAAATTGAAAATTAAAATAATTGATAGATTTGGAAATAAAAAATCGAAAATTGAAAAATTCAGAAGTTGAAAAGTCGAAAAATAAAGAAACGAATAAGTGAAAACACGAGAAATTAAAATATTTATCAACTGAATTAAAAATTGAAAAGTCCAGAAGTTGAAAACACGAAAATTTATAAAATTGAAAAATTTTAAATTGGAAGAAATGAGAAAAATGAAAAATTGAAAAATTAAAATATCTAAAAGCGGTCGAAAATTTGACAAATTCAAAACTCGAAAAATTGGGTAATTGAACAATTTCAAATACAGACATTGAAGAAACGAAAAATCGAAAAATGTATTATGCTTTTTCAATAGAAAGAATGAGACCTTAAAACGGATGGAGATTGAAAAACCGACTGAAAAATTGAAAAATCCAGAAGTTGAAAATTCGAAAATTTGAACAATTTTAAATGAAAACTGAAATAAATGAAAACTGAAAAATTCAGAAATTAAAAAATTCGAAAGTGAAAAATTGGGAAATTGTAAAACCGAAAACTTTAAGAATTAAAATCGAAAAATTCAAGTTTTGAAATACTGAAAAATGCAGAAGTTGAAAATATGAAAAATTAAATAATCAAATAATTGAAAAATTTTAAATTGACAGCTCGAAAAGTTGAAACGGAAAATCGAAAAATTAAAATTTATATCTAAAAGTCGAGGTTTTCAAAAATTGATAGATTTGGAAATGAAAAAAAAAAACTTTAAAAATTAAAATCGGCACATTGACAGAACGAAATATTGAAATTTCTAAAAACTGAAAAAGTAGAAAAATTTTAAATTGAAAAGTCGAAAAATTCAAGAAACGAAAAATCGAAAACTAAAATACATATCCAAACACGGAATAATCGAAAAATTGAAAAATTCTGTAAAATTGAAAATTAAAAACGTTGGAAGAACGAAAAATTAAAATATCCTGAAATTAAAAATTCCAAAAATTGATAGAAAAATTTAAAATTGAAAATATTTAAAATCTGAACTTTCGAGAAATTGAAAAATTGCAAAATCGTGAAATTTAAAAAAAAATTGAAAAGTCCAGAAGTTGCAAACACGAAAATTCATAAAATCGAAAAATTGAAAAATTCGGAAATTGAAAAATCCGAAAATAAAAACAAATCAAGTTGAAATATTTAAAAAATTTAAATTGGAAGAAATGAGTAAAATGAAAAATTAAAAAATTAAACTATCTATTACCTTCGAAAAATTGACAAATTCAAAACTCGAAAAACCCGGAAATTGAACAGTTTCAAATAAGAAATTGAAACGAAAAATCGAAAAATGCTTTTTCTATGGAAAGAACGAGAGTTTAAAACGGATGACGATTGGAAAATCGACTGAAAATTGGAAAAATTGAAGAAATGGAAAATCGAAAAATTGAAAAATCGACAAAAAAATCGAAGAATTGAAAAATACCGAAATTGAAAACACGAAAAATTCAGAAAGTGAAAAATTTTGAAAAATTGAAAACAGAAAACTTTAAAAATAAAAATCGGAAAATTGAAAAATCAAATACCTGAAAAAATCAAAACTGAAAAATTTTAAATTGAAAACTCGAAAAGTTGAATCGGAAAAACGGAAAATCGAAAATTAAAAATACTTATCAAAAAGTTGAAAAATCGAAAAATTGGAAAATCCAGAACTTGAAAACACGAAAAGTTCAGAAATTGAAAAATTTAGACGAACTTTGAAAATTGAAATATTGAAAGAACGAAAAATTGAAAAATTAAATCGAAAACTTGAAGAAACGAAAAATCGAGAAACAAAAAAATCCATAAAAATGTCATGTCAAAAATAAAAACAAATCAAGTTGAAATATTTTAAAAATTTAAATTGGAAGAAATGAGTAAAATGAAAAATTAAAAAATTAAAATATCTATTACCTTCGAAAAATTGACAAATTCAAAACTCGAAAAATCGGGAAATTGAACAACTTCAAATACAGAAATTGAAACGAAAAATCGAAAAATGCTTTTTCTGTGGAAAGAACGAGAGATTAAAACGGAGGGAGATTGAAAAACCGACTGAAAATTTGAAAATCCGAAAGTTGAAAATTGAAAAATTGAAAAATCGACAAAAAATTCGGAGAACTGAAAAATTCCGAACTTGAGAACACGAAAAATTTCAGAAAGTGAAAAATTTTGAAACTGTAAAATTTAAAACAGAAAACTTTAAAAAAATTGGAAAATTAAAAAATCAAATACTGAAAAATTCAAAACTAGAAAAATCGAGAAACAAAAAATCCATAAAAACTTTTCGTCGTTTTTTGAGTACAAAAATGAAAAATTAATTATCAAAATTGAAAAATCGAAAAATTAACAAACTGAACAGGAAATATGAAAAATTTAAAATATCTTATAATTGAACAATCGGAAAATTGAAAATTGCAAAATTGAAACATTGAAAGAACGAACAATTAAAATATCTAGAAATTGAAAATTCTAAAAATTGATAGATGTATAAATGAAAAATTGCAAAATTGAAAACCAGAAACTGAATAATTTTAAACCAAAAATTAATGAGTCCAGAATTGAAATTTTAAAATTTTTAAATGAAAATTCGAAAAATTCAAAAACTGAAATATACATATATCAAAAAATTGAAAAATCGAGAAACTGAAAAATTTAAAATTGTAAACTAGAAAAATTAAAACATCGAAAAACTGAATTGGAATATTGAAAAATTAAACAAACGTGTTCTTCTGCTCCTTGAGTTATTATTATTCTTCTCTCTTTCCATTTAGTTCCTCAGTAGTTGTATCTTCTTGTCATCGTTCTCGTTGATTAATTAGCCAATCCAACCTAAAATTATATAAATATCTTTAGCTTGGTCTTGTTTATCGTTTCAGAAAGCATCAACGGCTTGAAAAACCAGTTAATCAGCAAACTAAAACAAATACCAACTTTCACCGAGCAAATCGCCATCTTTGTAAAAACGCTCCAACCAAACAGAACCACAATCGACTTGCAATTTTGGCATGTGTACAGGGATTTAGTATCAGACTTGGGATCACTAATCAAAATACTTCAGAGACTCGGAGACGCAGCATTAATGGAAATGTACACCCATCTCAGCCCTGTACACTTTCGCGCAGGGATGAAAGCGAAACGTAAAACCGAAAAAAGAAAACTAGAAGAAGTGATGAGCTTACTCGATGAAAGTAAAAATTTCGTAAACGCCAGATTGATCCCCAAGACTACTTATAAAGTCGTAGAATGCCTCCACGTACCCACACAACTCGTGTGCGTAATAGACGTAACACAAAAGTCCAAGAAGGCGGGTACCGTCATGTTCAATTATTACATGAATTTGGACGAGAAAGTCCAGCAACTTTGTCTTTTTGTCAAGTATTGGAACTCTTGTTACCTACCGACCAAACACACTTTTGTACCGGACGTGCTGTATTTGTTGGTGATTTTTTTTCTACAGCAAGAACCGTACAAGCTTCCTCCGATAGCTGACATTTTGGTCCAACGGAACGTTGACAAACCGGTTTTTAGACATTTAAAATTCAAGAGCGTTGCGCTTCAGCGTGCCACGATTTTTGAGCTAGTTCGCGGTTTTTTCAAATTCTATTCCGAGTTCGACTATTTCACTCGAGTGGTTGCACCACTTAACGGTTTCGCAACGTTTAAAACCAATTCCAACCATAAGAAAAGTATGTTATCTACTTTGTTCATCGAGCATCCGTACCGATCCGGTACAACCATGATGGAGCCAAAGTCCTACTTTACTTCTGCCGTGTTTTCTCATCGGTGCAGACAGAGTTTGAGTTTGGTGGACAACGGCGAAGTCGACCTTCTACCAGCTTTAATCCAACCCAGGCAGGACCATCCCAGCTTTGAACTGGTTAACCGCACAAGGGTCGACCATCAGCGCTGGAAGAAAATGATGGTGGATGGCTTCCAGAAAATCGCCGTTGAACTGTTGGCTGCCACTTTTAAAAATTCGAGCGAAGACGGGCTTTTTACGATTTCGTGCCGGCTGGACTTTTGCTCGCAGAAGCAGTTCAGGAAGTACTTGAAGAAGGTGAGGTGCGTTTTTTCCGGGAGCACTGCTTGGGATGGAGATGTGGAGTTTTTTTCGAACGTACTGGATGAAAATTCGAGGAGGGAAGTGGATGTCCGGTTGGAGTTTAGCGAGTGTCCGTCGAAAATGGTTTTGAGTTTTCCCAAGCCGGATTTTTTCGGGTTTCACACTATTCATATTTTTTACACGAGGATGATGAAGTTTCAGGAGAACGTGCCACGGTTTGATGTGTTTGGTAAGTTTGATTTAGATTTTTAGTTTTTGGTTTTTCGGTATTTCGATTTTTTTATTTCTCAATTTCTAGATTTCTCAAGTTTTCGTCGTGGCAATTTTGTAGTTTTTCGATTTTTCAATTTGTACGCATGAAATCTACAAAGAAATGTATTTAGTTAAATTGCGATAGTTCAATGATCGATTGTCGAAAAACAGTTCGAGTTATCGAAGAAATTTGGCCAGAAGTGACTTCTGCGGCCTGAAATCCACAAGAAAATGTATTTAGTTAAATTTCGAAAATCGTCGAAAATAGGTCGAAATTTGCATAAGGGGGGAAAATTTCATTTTTGAAAAAGTCGTCCAAAAATTCTCAAAAATTCAGGGTGTATAATTCTTGTTCCATATACCCGCCCTTTATTTTCTTGGAGAGTATATCTGCCAAAATCAGTCGTATTTTAGGAAGTACAAGCCCCGCCCACCCGCCCTTTATTTTCTTAAAGTATATCATTTGCCAAAATCAGTCTTATCTTAACAAGTACTAGCTCCGCCCACCCGCCCTTTATTTGCTTAGAGAATATATCTGCCAAAATCACTCGTATCTTAGGAGGTACTAGCCCCGTCCACCCACCCTTTGTTTTCTTGAAGGGTATATCATCTGCCAAAGTCAGTCATATTTTAGGAAGTACAAGCCCCGCCCACCCGCCCTTTATTTTCTTAAAGTATATCATTTACCAAATCAGCCTTATCTTAACAAGTACTAGCTCCGCCCACCCGCCCTTTATTTTCTTAGAGAATATATCTGCTAAAATCACTCGTACCTTAGGAGGTACTAGCCCCGCCCACCCGCCCTTTGTTTTCTTGAAGGGTATATCATCTGCCAAAATCAGTCGTCTTTTAAGAAGTACTAGCTCCGCCCATTTGCTCTTTATTTTCTTAGAGTATATCTGCCAAAATCACTTGTATCTTACGAGGTACTAGCCCCGCCCACCCGCCCTTTGTTTTCTTAAAGTATATCATTTGCCAAATCAGCCTTATCTTAACAAGTACTAGCCCCGCCCACCCGCCCTTATTTTTCTTAAAGGGTATATCATTTGCCAAAATCACTCGTTTTTTAAGAAGTACTCTCCTCGCCCACCCGCCCTTTATTTTCTTAAAGGATTTCATTTGCCAAAATCAGTCTTATCTTAACAAATACTAGCCCCGCCCACCCACCCTTTATTTTCTTAGACGGTATGTCATTTGCCAAAATCAGTCGGAAGTACCATTTTTCGAATTTGTTCTAGATTTTCCGATTTGAAAATTTTCTATTTTGACCAATTTGGATTTTCTGATATGTCGATTTCTCGGTGTTCGATTGTTCAGCTTTTTTTTATTTTCGATTGTTCGAATTTTCGATATGTCGAATTTTTGAATTTTCGATTTTTCGAATTTGCTATTTTCGATTTTTGAAATTTTCCTATCTGAGTTTTCGATTTTCTAATTTTTCAGTTCGCCTGTTACCTATTCAGACTTCGAAATTTCGAATTTTCAATTTTTTTGAATTTCGGATCTTCGATTTTTTGATTTTTCAGAATTCGACATTTGAAATTTTTGGATTTTCTATTTTCGATTTTTGATTTTTTGAATTTTCCATTATTTGGTTATCTATTTTTCGAAAATCGAAGTTTCGAATTTTCAATTTCGAAAGAAGTTTCAAATTTCCGTATTTCAATTTTTCATTTATTTTTCGATTTTTTGAACTGACGATTTTTTCAATTTCGAATTTTCACTTTTTTTTATTTTGGATCTTCGACCTGAGAAAATCCAAAAATTTTAAATTCAGCATTTAAAATTTTTGGATTTTATATTTTCTATTTTAGATTTTTTGAATTTTCGATTATTTGCTTTTCGAATTATCGATTTTTCGAGTGTCAAAGTTTCGAATTTGCAATATCCAGATTTTCAATTTTGCAAAATTCGAAATTTCGAATTTCCGTCTTTCAATTTTTGATTTATTTTTCAATTTTTTTGAGCTCAGGAGTTTTCAGTTTCAAATTTTCGATTTTTCAATTTTTCAGTTCTTCTATTAGACCTATTAAAAATTAGAAATATCGCATTTTCAATTTTTTGGAATTTTGGATCTTCGATTTTTCAAAATTCGACATTTTAAATTTTTAGATTTTCTATTTTAGGTTTTTCGAAATTTCGAATTTCCTTATGTTAGTTTTTGAATTATTTTTCGATTTTTTGAAGTCACGATTTTTTCAGTTTCGAATTTTCAAATTTTTGAATTTTGTATCTTCGGTTTTTCTAAATTCGACGTTTAAAATTTCGAATTTTCTAATTTCGACTTTGGAGTTTTTGTTTGAATTTTCAATTTTCGAATTATCGATTTTTCGAAAGTCGGACGTTGCGAATTTTCGATCTCCATATTTTCGAAATTTCGAGTTTCAATTTTTGATTTATTTTTCTATTTTTTTGAAGTTACGAATTTTTCCAATTTAAAATTTTCGGTTTTTTGAATCTTCAATTTTTTGAATTTTCGATCTTCAAGTTCGAATTGCGAAACTTGGAATTTTCAAATTTTGGTTTTTAAATTTTTGATTTTTCGACTTTCGAGTTTTCGGTTTTTCCATTTTAGATTTTTCGAATTTTTGATTTTTCAATTTTTTGGAATTTCGATGTTCGATTTTTCGGTTCAAAAATTCGACATTTGAAATTTCTTAATTTCGATTTTTCAAAATTCAGATTGTTTTTTTTTAATTGGTATTTTAGTTTTTGAGTTTTCGATTTTTCAATTTTTCAATTTTTTCGATTTTCCAAAATTCGGTATTTAAAATTTTTGGATTTTCGCTTTTTTCGCTTTTCAGTTTTTCGATTTTTGAGAATTCGAAATTCCGTATTTCGATTTTCAATTATTCGATTTTTGGTTTTTCGATTTTTCAATTCTTCTACTAGAGCTATTCAAATTTGGAAATTTCCCATTTTCAATTTTTTGGAATTTTGGACATTCGATTTTTCAAAATTCGACATTTAACATTTTTGGATTTTCTATTTTAAATTTTTTGAATTTTCGATTGTTTAATTTTCGAATTCTCGATTTTTCGAAAATCGAAGTTTCAAATTTTCAAGCTCCAGAGTTTCAATTTTTCAAAATCCGAAATTTCGAATCGCCGATTTTTCGAAATTTCGAATTTCCGTATGTCAGTTTTTGATTTATTTTTCGATTTTTTTTAACTCACGATTTTTTCAATTTCGAATTTTCGACTTTCCAATTATTCAATTCTTCCATTAGACCTATTTAGAATACGAAATTTCGAATTTTCAGTTTTTTGAATTTTGGATCTTCGATTTTTCAAAATTCGACATTTAATATTTTTAGATTTTCTATTTTAGATTTTTTGAATTTTCGATTATTTGATTTTCGAATTATCGATTTTTCGAAAGTCGAAGTTTCGAAATTTCAATCTCCAGGTTTTCAAGTTTTCAAAATCGGAAATTCCGAATCGCCGATTTTTCGAAATTTCGAACTTCCGTATTTCAGTTTTTGATTTATTTTTCGATTTTTTGAACTCACGATTTTTTCAATTTCGAATATTCACATTTTTGAATTTTGGATCTTCCATTTTTCAAAATTCTACGTTTAAAATTTTAGATTTCTTGAATTTTCGATTATTTGATTTTCGAATTATCGATTTTTCGAAAGTCGTAGTTTCGAATTTTCAATCTCCAGATTTTCGTTTTTTTTGAACTCACGATTTTTTTCAATTTCGAAAATTCGAATTTTCAATTTTTTTGAATTTCAAATCTTCGATTTTTCAAAATTCGATATTTAAAGTTTTTGGATCTTCTATTTTCGACTTTGGAGTTTTTGAATTTTCTATTATTTGATTTTCGATTTTCGAATTATCGAGTTTTCGAAAATCGGTGGTTTCGAATTTTCAATCTGCAGATTTTCGAAATTTCGAGTTTCCGTATTTCAGTTTTTGATTTATTTTTCGATTTTTCTGAACTCACGATTTTTTCAATTTCGAATTTTCGGTTTTTCGCATCTTCAATTTTTTAATTTTCGATTTCTAATTCTTCGAATTTCGAAACTTGGAATTTTCAAATTTTGGTTTTTTGAATTTTTGATTTTTCGACGTTCGAGTTTTCGAATTTTTGATTTTTCAATTTGTCGGCTTTCCGATGTTCGATTTTTCTGTTTTTCAAAAATTCGACTTTTAAAATTTTTAATTTCATTTTTCAAAATTCGGAAACTTTGAAATTGGAAATTCGGAATTTTTGTTTTTTTTTTTAATTTTGCAATTTTAGGTTTTTAATTTTAAAATTTTTCGAACTTTGTTTTGTTGGTTTTCGATTTTTTAAAATTCAAAATTTCGAAGTGGCAAATTCTCTATTTATTAAATTTTTCGATTCTTGAAAATTCTCGCTTTCAGTTTTTGGATTTTTTCAATTTAGGATTTTTTAGATATGGAATTTTAATTTCCCGATTTTTCGTTTCTTGAATTTTTACACTTTTGAAGTTCGGCGTTTTTCAATTGTTCAAGTTCTGAATTTTCAATTTTTCGAAATTCTGTATTTCGAATTTCAGATTTATCAAATTTTGGAATTTATAATTATCGTTTTTTCAAAAGTCGATTTTCCGGTTTTTCCATTTTCAATTTTTCAAATTTTCGATTTTTCTTTTTTTTTTATTTTACATCTTCGAGTTTTCGACATTTAAAATTTTTTAATTTCCGATTTTTCAAAATTCGAAAAGTTTAAAATTCGAAATTTCAAATTTCGTTATTTCAATTTTTGATTTTTCGATTTTCCAATTTTTAGAAGTTTTCAAATTTTCAAATTTTAACATGAATTTTTTTAATTTTCGCAATTCAGTTTTTCAATTTTTTGTTCTTCGATTTTTCAGAATTCGAAATTTCGAATTTCCATACTTTGATTTTTGGTTTTTCGATTTTTTGAATTTAGAACTTTTTAGGTATGTATTTTATTTTCCCCATTTTTCGTTTCTTCCATTTTTCCACTTTTGAAGTACTGCATTTTTCAATTTTTCGAAATTCTGTATTTCGAATTTCAGATTTATCAAATTTTTGAATTTATGATTATCGTTTTTTCAAAAGTCGATTTTCCGGTTTTTCCATTTTTAATTTTTCAAATTTTCGATTTTTCTTTTTTTTTCGAATTATCGATTTTTTTGAACTCACGATTTTTTCAATTTCGAATTTTTGAGTTTTCGACGTTCGAGTTTTCGGTTTTTCCATTTTTGGATTTTTCGAATTTTTGATTTTTCAATTTGTTGGGTTTTCAATGTTCGATTTTTTTATTTTTCAAAAATTCGACATTTAAAATTTTTAATTTCGTTTTTTCAAAATTCGGAAACTTGGAAATTGGAAATTTGGAATTATGTTTTTTTTTTGTTAATTTTGCTTTTTTGAATTTAGAATTTTTTAGGTATGTATTTTAACTTCCCCATTTTACGTTTCTTCCATTTTTCCACTTTTGAAGTACTGCATTTTTCAATTTTTCGAAATTCTGTATTTCGAATTTCCGATTTGTCAAATTTTTGATTTATGATTATCGTTTTTTCAAAAGTCGATTTTCCGGTTTTTTCATTTTTAATTTTTCAAATTTTCGATTTTTCTTTTTTTTTTATTTTACATTGTCGAGTTTTCGACATTTAAAATTTTTTAATTTCCGATTTTTCAAAATTCGAAAAGTTTAAAATTCGAAATTTCGACTTTTGTTATTTTTTTATTTTGCGGTTTAATTTTTTTTGAATCTTCGATTTTTTAAAATTCAAAATTTCGAAATTTCAAATTTCGTTATTTCGACTTTTGTTATTTTTTTATTTTGCGGTTTTATTTTTTTTGAATCTTCTCAAATTTCGTTATTTCAATTTTTGATTTTTCGATTTTCCAATTTTTAGAAGTTTTCGAATTTTCAAATTTTAACATATGAATTTTTTTAATTTTCGCAATTCAGTTTTTCGATTTTTTGTTCCTCGATTTTTCAGAATTCGAAATTTCGAATTTCCATACTTTGATTTTTGGTTTTTCGATTTTTTGAATTTAGAATTTTTTAGGTATGTATTTTAATTTCCCCATTTTTTGTTTCTTCCATTTTTCCACTTTTGAAGTACTGCATTTTTCAATTTTTCGAAATTCTAAATTTCGAATTTCAGATTTTTCAAATTTTTGAACATCGTTGTTTCAAAATTCGATTTTTCGGTTTTTCCACTTTTAATTTTTCAAATTTTCGATTTTTCAACTTTTTTGAATTTTTGATCTTCGATTTTTCGTTTTTTCCAAAATTAGACATTTAAAATTTTTTAGTTTCGATTTTTCAACTGTTTTTTTTTTTGTTTTGCGATTTTAGTTTTTTTGAATCTTCGATTAATTTTCAAATTTTCGATTTTTTAAAATTCGAAATTTCGAAGTGCCAATTTTGCGAAATTTCCATTTTCGTTATTTCAATTTTCGATTTTTCAATCTTATTAATTGTTCGATTTTTCAAAATTCGACATTTGAAATTTTTGGATTTTCGCTTTTCAGTTTTTTGATTTCTCAAAATTCGAAATTTCTTTAATTTTTCCACTTTTGAAATTCTGCGTTTTTCAATTGTTCAAGTTTCGAATTTTCAAAATTCGATTTTTCGGTTTTTCCATTTTAAATTTTTCTATTTTTCAATTTTTTGGATTGGAGATCTTCGATTTTTCGTTTTTTCCAAAATTCGATATTAAACATTTTTTTATTTCGATTTGTTTTAAATTTTGCGATTTTAGTTTTTTGAATATTCGATTTTTTAAAATTCAAAACTTGGAAGTGCCAATTTTTCGAAATTTTGATTTTTCAATTTCTGATTGGTTAGCTGCGGACTTTAATATACACTGTCATTTAATGTCATTTTTCAGATCAACCTTCATTCCTACAGTCCCTCGAAGAAGGCAAAACATTCCCAGACCAAGCAGCCATTCTAGAAAACAACTTGATTCCACACAAAGACAAAATGAAAGTCCACCAGACGATGCTTATCCGGGACTTGACATCAACTTTATCTCCAAACTTCCCGACCATCAAGTTTGACATCTACGACGCGAACATCACCGGCTGCACCTGGTCGAACTCCAAGTTCATACAAATGTGCGTACACGACATAACACTCGAGGAATCCACCTCAACCACAATCCACGATTTGCTCACCAAAAACGACGTATTCTCCAACGTGTTCGTGCTAGAAAATTGCGAAAATTCAATCAAAGGCAACCACGTCCCGACGAACACAATTTTTGAGTTGAACTTGAAAAGTAAACTACCCCTACAAACCAGCCAGTTGATCAAGTTCTACATGTCTTTGGACCCGCGAATTTCCTCTTTGATGACCATCGCCAAGTTCTGGCTTGATTGGGATAACAACAACTTCACCAATGAGTCGCTGCCTCTCATGACAATTTTTTACCTCCAGGTGGTGTTTAAATTCCCGCCTGTAGGCGAAATGACGTCGTACTTCCAAAGCACGGTGGATAGCTCCAAAGCGTCAAACCTCCTCAAAGGGTCGGCTCTTTTCGATCTCGTTGTCGGGTTCTTCGAGTTCTATCACTCGTTCGACTACAATTCCTACGTTGTGTCGCCTTATTTCGGCGTACTTGTGGAAAAAGTGTGTTTATTGAGTCCTCTGGACTTACCCGACGGTTTCCAAAGCTACCTAAATCAAGGTATCGAATTCACGATGGGGTCGTATATAGACGTCCAAGACCCCTTTCTACTCCACAAAAACGTGACCATGCACCTTATGGACACTGATCTCTCTGTGTTCTTCAGACGTTGCCGATGCGCCGTTCGTGATTTAAAAACCCCCTCGTTGTCGGTCATTTTAAAGCATCAAGAACAAGATCTCGTCGTCAGTTACAGGATCAAAAGAAACGAAAACCAGGATCCGCAGAAATGGGTACATACTTTGTTTATGCTTGTAACGAAGCTTTTGAGGGACGTTATTGACGCTGACGTTTCGTTTTTGGTGAAACCCACTGATGATGGTGTGTGTGTTTGGGATTGCAAGGGGACTCACAACGCTTGTCAAATGAGGGCACAGGCGGCGAAAAGGCTGCTTTTACCGGACGGAATTAGCGACGTGGAGAAAGAAATTGCCATCACGAAGGCCGTAAATGCACAATTTTTTTCACTTTCGAAGAACTGGAAAGTGATCGTGGAGTTAATTCTGGAAAAGGATGTTTCTGCGGTGACTCTCCGCGTGAAGAGGTGGTTTTTGGCGCACTTGAGGGAGTGTAAAGGCCAGTTTATTTATGCGCAGTTGAACAAGGCTTTGAGAGGTCCGTTGTGTGACGTTAACGAGGACACCTTGGACGATAAAGACGCACGTAAGTTTTTTATTGCCGTTTAACGAACAGATGGAGTTGCAAAAGTATTATTTCCAAAAACCAAAATTAATTTTTTTTTTAATTCTAAATTTTTCGAAATTCGATTTTTTAAAACTCAAAATTTCGAAATGCCAATTTTTGAGTTTTCGATGAATTTTCAATTTATTAAATTTTTCGATTTTTCAAAATTTTCGCTTTTCAGTTTTTCGATTTTTTGGATTTAGGATTTTTTAGATCTGGAATTTTAATTTCCCGATTTTTCGTTTCTTCAATTTTCACACTTTTGAAGTTCGGCGTTTTTCTATAGCTCAAATTCTGAATTTTCAGTTTTTCGAAATTCTGTATTTCGAATTTCGGATTCATAAAATGTTTGAATTTATGATTATCGTTTTTTCAAAAGTCGATTTTTCGGTTTTTCCATTTTAAATTTTTCAAATTTTTCATTCTTTTTTTATTTTACATCTTCGATATTTCGTTTTTTCCAAAATTCGACATTTAAAATTTTTTAATTTCCATTTTTCAAAATTCGAAGAGTTTGAAATTGGAAATTTCGACTTTTGTTATTTTTTTATTTTGCGGTTTTAGTTTTTTTAAATCTTCAATTTTTGAGATGTGTATTTTAATTTCCCCATTTTTCGTTTTTTCCATTTTTCCAATTTTGAACTAATGCATTTTTCAATTTTTCAAGTTCTAAATTTTCAATTTTTCGAAATTCTAAACTTCGAATTTCAGTTTTTTCAATTTTTTGATTTTATGAATATCGTTGTTTCAAAATTCGATTTTTCGGCTTTTCCACTATTAATTTTTCAACTTTTTTGGATTCTAGCTCTTCGATTTTTCGTTTTTTCCAAAATTAGACATTTAAAATTTTTTAGTTTCGATTTTTCAAAATTGGAAATTTCGAATTTTGTTTTTTTTATTTTGCGATTTTATTTTTTCAAATCTTCGATTTTTTAATTTTCAATTTTTCGATATTTCGTTTTATTTTCGATTTTTTAAAATTCAAAATTTCGAAGTGCCTATTTTTCGAAATTTCCAATTTCGTTATTTCAATTTTTGATTTTTCAATTTTCCTATTTTTTTAATTTTTCGATATTTCAAAATTCGACATCTGAAATTTTTGGTTTTTCGATTTTTTGAATGTAGAATTTTGTAGATATGCATTTTAATTTCCGGATTTTTCGTTCAAAATTTAAAACAACAATGCTTTGAAATCTTGCAGATGTTTTAAGGTTATGATAAACATGATAAATTTTTAATCAAAATACATACATTTACTTTTATTACAAAACCGAATGCTTTGAAATCTTGGAGATGTTTTTAAAGTTATCATGGTCATGGTAATTTTTTGATCAAAATATTTTTGTTCATCCCCCCTAAAAAATTGATAACGTCACCTCAAAATTTCGCTGAATAAATCCTATCTTCAAGTTATTTTTCTTATCGATGATAAGTTACGGACGTACAGAATGGAGTCCAACTGGCAATTTGGTACTTTCATATTTTTTCGATATTTCATAACCCCAAGACAAGCCCGTAGCTAAGGGGAGGCTAGGGGATGGTGAGCTTCCCCTTCATCTTTTCAAAATTCGGAAACTTCGAAATTGGAAATTTCATTTTTTTTTAATTTTGCAATTTAAGTTTTTTAATTTTAAATTTTTCGAAATTCGATTTTTTAAAACTCAAAATTTCGAAGTGCCAATTTTTCAAAATTTTTTATTTCGTCATTCAATTTTTGAGTTTTCGATGAATTTTCAATTTATTAAATTTTTCGATTTTTCAAAATTTTCGCGTTTCAGTTTTTCGATTTTTTGGATTTAGGATTTTTTAGATCTGGAATTTTAATTTCCCGATTTTTGGTTTCTTCAATTTTTACACTTTTGAAGTTCGGCGTTTTTCTATAGTTCAAATTCTGAATTTTCAGTTTTTCGAAATTCTATATTTCGAATTTCAGATTTATAAAATTTTTGAATTTATGATTATCGTTTTTTCACAAGTCGATTTTTCGGTTTTTCCATTTTAAATTTTTCAAATCTCCGATTTTTCATTCTTTTTTTATTTTACATCTTCGATATTTCGTTTTTTCCAAAATTCGACATTTAAAATTTTTTAATTTCCATTTTTCAAAATTCGAAAAGTTTGAAATTGGAAATTTCGACTTTTGTTATTTTTTTATTTTGCGGTTTTAGTTTTTTTAATTCTTCGATTTTTTAATTTTCATTTTTTCGATATTTCGTTTTTTATTTTCAATTTTTTAAAATCCAAAATTTCGCAGTACCAATTTTTGAATTTTTCAATTTTTTGTATTTAGAATTTTTTGGATGTGAATTTTAATTTCCCCATTTTTCGTTTTTTCCATTTTTCCAATTTTGAAGTAATGTATTTTTTAATTTTTCAAGTTCTAAATTTTCAATTTTTCGAAATTCTAAATTTCGAATTTCAGATTTTTCAATTTTTTGATTTTATGAATATCGTTGTTTCAAAATTCGATTTTTCGGTTTCTCCACTTTTAATTTTTCAACTTTTTTGGATTCTAGGTCTTCGATTTTTCAAAATTCGAAAACTTTGAAATTCGAAATTTCGAATTTTGTTTGTTTTTAATTTTGCGATTTTAGTTTTTCAAATTTTCGATTTTTTAATTTTCAATTTTTCGATATTTCGTTTTATTTTCGATTTTTTAAAATTCAAAATTTCGAACTGCCAATTTTTCGAAATTTCCAATTTCGTTATTTCAATTTTTGATTTTTCAATTTTCCTATTTTTTAAATTTTTCGATATTTCAAAATTCGACATTTGAAATTTTAGGATTTTCGATTTTTTGAATGTAGAATTTTTTAGATATGCATTTTAATTTCCGGATTTTTCGTTCAAAATTTAAAACAACAATGCTTTGAAATCGTGCAGATGTTTTAAGGTTATGATAAACATGATAAATTTTTAATCAAAATACATAGATTTACTTTTATTAAGTACAGGGTGATTTATTAGGTATTGATTTAATCAGGAACTACAAAACCGAATGCTTTGAAATCTTGGAGATGTTTTTAAAGTTATCATGGTCATGGTAATTTTTTGATCAAAATATTTTTGTTCATCCCCCCTAAAAAATTGATAACGTCACCTCAAAATTTCGCTGAATAAATCCTATCTTCAAGTTATTTTTCTTATCGATGATAAGTTACGGACGTACAGAATGGAGTCCAACTGGCAATTTGGTACTTTCATATTTTTTCGATATTTCATAACCCCTAGACAAGCCCGTAGCTAAGAGGAGGCTAGGGGATGGTGAGCCTCCCCTTCATCTTTTCAAAATTCGGAAACTTCGAAATTGGAAATTTAATTTTTTTTTTTAATTTTGCAATTTTAGTTTTTAAATTTTAAATTTTTCGAAATACGATTTTTTAAAACTCAAAATTTCGAAGTGCCAATTTTTCAAAATTTTTAATTTCGTCATTTAATTTTTGACTTTTCGATGAATTTTCAATTTATTAAATTTTTCGATTTTTCAAAATTTTCGCTTTTCAGTTTTTCGATTTTTTGGATTTGGGATTTTTTAGATCTGGAATTTTAATTTCCCGATTTTTCGTTTCTTCAATTTTCACACTTTTGAAGTTCGGCGTTTTTCTATCGCTCAAATTCTGAATTTTCAGTTTTTCGAAATTCTATATTTCGAATTTCAAATTTATAAAATTTTTGAATTTATGATTATCGTTTTTTCACAAGTGGATTTTTTGGTTTTTCCATTTTAAATTTTTTAAATTTCCAATTTTTCATTTTTGTTTTATTTTACATCTTCGATATTTCGTTTTTTCCAAAATTCGACATTTAAAATTTTTTAATTTCCATTTTTCAAAATTCGGAAAATTTGAAATTGGAAATTTCGACTTTTGTTATTTTTTTATTTTGCGGTTTTAGTTTTTTGAATCTTCGATTTTTTAATTTTCATTTTTTCGATATTTCGTTTTTTATTTTTAATTTTTTAAAATCCAAAATTTCGCAGTACCAATTTTTGAATTTTTCTATTTTTTGAATTTAGAATTTTTTAGATGTGTATTTTAATTTCCCCATTTTTCGTTTTTTCCATTTTTCCAATTTTGAAGTAGTGCATTTTTCGATTTTTTGATTTTATGAATATGGTTGTTTTAAAATTCGATTTTTCGGTTTTTCCACTTTTAATTTTTCAACTTTTTTGGATTCTAGATCTTTGATTTTTCGTTCTTTCCAAAATTAGACATTTAAAATTTTTTAGTTTCGATTTTTCAAAATTCGAAAACTTTGAAATACGAAATTTCGAATTTTGTTTTTTTTTGCGATTTTAGTTTTTTCAAATCTTCGATTTTTTAATTTTCAATTTTTCGATATTTCGTTTTATTTTCGATTTTGTAAAATTCAAAATTTCGAAGTGGCAACTTTTCGGAATTTCCAATTTCGTTATTTCAATTTTTGATTTTTCAATTTTCCTATTTTTTTAACTTTTGGATATTTCAAAATTCGACATTTGAAATTTTTGGTTTTTCGATTTTTTTAATGTACAATTTTTTAGATATGCATTTTAATTTCCGGATTTTTCGTTCAAAATTTAAAACAACAATGCTTTGAAATCTTGCAGATGTTTTAAGGTTATGATAAACATGATAAATTTTTAATCAAAATATGTACATAGATTTAATTTTATTAAGTACAGGGTGATTTATTAGGTATTGATTTAATCAGGAACTACACAACCGAATGCTTTGAAATCTTGGAGATGTTTTTAAAGCTATTATAGTCATGGTAATTTTTTGATCAAAATGTTTTTGTTCATCGCCCCTAAAAAATTGATAACGTCACCTCAAAATTTCGCTGAACAAATCCTGTCTTCAAGTTATTTTTCTTATCGATGATAAGTTGAGGACGTACAGAATGGAGTCCATGGGGCAATTTGGTACTTTCATATTTTTTCGATATTTCATAACCCCTAGACAAGCCCGTAGCTAAGGGGAGGATATTTTAAAACTCAAAATTTCGAAGTGCCAATTTTTCAAAATTTTGCAGTTTTTAGATTTTTACATTTCTCAATTTGTCGATTTTCTATTTCTCGAATTTCAATTTTTGAACTTTTCGATATTTCATTTTTGCAATTTTTCAGTTTTCAATTTTTTGATTTTGCGATTTTTCGAATAAGTATTAGAGTTTTAATATTTCAGTTTTTCGATGTTTCAGTGTTCAATTATTAAATTTTCCATTTTTGATTATACAATTTCTCGGTGTTTGATTTTCCAATTTTTCGATCGTTTAATTTCTGAGTTTTTCAGTTTCTCAAATTTTTGATATTTTCCGATTTCTGAACTACTCTTCGTTTTCTCAATGTTCGGTAATTTTAATATTTCGTTGTTTTCAATTTTGCGGTTTTCCGTTTCTCAATTTTTAATTTTTCGATTTTTTATTTTTGATTATACAATTTTTCGGTGTTTCGACTTTTCAGTTTTTCGATTATTTAATTTCTCGGTTTTTCACTTTTTCAGATTTTTCGACTTTTCAATTTTAAGATATTTTAATTTTTCGTTGTTTTCATTGTTGCCATTTTTCGTCTCTCAATTTTTAATTTTTGATTTTGCAGTTTTTAGATTTTTACATTTCTCAATTTGTCGATTTTCTATTTCTCGAATTTCAATTTTTGAACTTTTCGATATTTAATTTTTGGAATTTTTCAGTTTTCAAATTTTTGATTTTCCGATTTTTAGAATATGTATTAGATTTTTAATGTTTCAGTGTTTCGATGTTTCAGTGTTCAATTTTTAAATTTTCCATTTTTGATTATACAATTCCTCGGTGTTCGATCATCTAATTTCTGAGTTTTTCAATTTCTCAAATTTTTGATATTTTCCGATTTTTGAACTACTTTTCGTTTTCTCAATGTTCGGTTAATTTAATTTTTCGTTGTTTTCAATTTTGCGGCTTCCCGTTTCTCAATTTTTAATTTTTCTGTTTTTCATTTTTGATTATACAATTTTTCGGTGTTCCAATTTTTCCGTTTTTCGATTATTTAATTTCTCGGTTTTTCACTTTTTCAGATTTTTCGGCTTTTCAATTTTGTGATTTTTTTGTCAATCAGTTTTTAATTTTTAAGTTGTTAAATTTTTCGAATTCTTTTCGATGTGTCATTGTTACAATTTTTCGATTTTTCAATATTTTGTTTTTTCGATTTTTTTCCATTTTTGTTTGTTTTAATTTCTATGTGATATTTGCCAAAATCAGTCTTATCTTACCAAGTACTAGCCCCGCCCACCCACCCTTTACTTTTTTAGAGGATATGTGATTTGCCAAAATTTGCCCACCCGCCCCCTATTTTTTCACAGGACATGTAATTTTTTCCATTTTTCAATTATAACATTTTAATTTTTCGTTGTTTTGATTTTGTGATATTTCGTTTTATCACTTTATAATTTTTCGTTGTTTTCACTTTTGCCATTTTTCGTCTCTCAATTTTTAATTTTTGATTTTGCAGTTTTTAGATTTTTACATTTCTCAATTTGTCGATTTTCTATTTCTCGAATTTCAATTTTTGAACTTTTCGATATTTCATTTTTGCAATTTTTCAGTTTTCAATTTTTTGATTTTGCGATTTTGCGAATATGTATTAGATTTTTAATGTTTCAGTTTTTCGATGTTTCAGTGTTCAATTTTTAAATTTTCCATTTTTGATTATACAATTTCTCGGTGTTCGATTTTCCAATTTTTCGATCATCTAATTTCTGAGTTTTTCAATCTCTCAAATTTTTGATATTTTCCGATTTTTGAACAACTTTTCGTTTTCTCAATGTTCGGTTATTTTAATTTTTCGTTGTTTTCAATTTTGCGGTTTTCCGTTTCTCAATTTTTAATTTTTCGATTTTTCATTTTTGATTATACAATTTTTCGGTGTTCCGACTTTTCGGTTTTTCGATTATTTAATTTCTCGGTTTTTCACTTTTTCAGATTTTTCGGCTTTTCAATTTTTAGATATTTTAGTTTTTCGTTGTTTTCAATTTTGTAACTTTTTTGTCTATCAGTTTTTAATTTTTAAGTTCTTAAATTTTTCGAATTCTTTTCGACGTATCATTGTTACAATTTTTCGATTTTTCAATATTTTGTTTTTTCGATTTTTTCCCATTTTCCAATTTTTCAACTTTTGGTTGTTTTAATTTTTATATGTGATATTTGCCAAAATCAGTCTTATCTTACCAAGTACTACCCCCGCCCACCCACCCTTTAGTATTTTAGAGGACATGTGATTTGCCAAAATCAGTCTTATCTTACCAAGGAGTAGTAGCCCCGCCCACCCGCCCCCTATTTTTTCACAGAACATGTCATTTTTTCCATTTTACAATTATAACATATTTTAATTTGTCGTTGTTTTGAATTTTGTGATTTTTCGTTTTATCACTTTATAATTTTTCGTTGTTTTAATTTTTGCCATTTTTCGTCTCTCAATTTTTAATTTTTGATTTTGCAGTTTTTAGATTTTTACATTTCTCAATTTGTCGATTTTCTATTTCTGGAATTTCAATTTTTGAACTTTTCGATATTTCATTTTTGCAATTTTTCAGTTTGCAATTTTTTGATTTTGCGATTTTTCGAATATGTATTAGATTTTTAATGTTTCAGTTTTTCGATGTTTCAGTGTTCAATTTTTAAATTTTCCATTTTTGAGTATACAATTTCTCGGTGTTCGATTTTCCAATTTTTCGATCATCTAATTTCTGAGTTTTCCAGTTTCTCAAATTTTGATATTTTCCGATTTGAACTACTTTTCGTTTTCTCAATGTTCGGTTATTTTAATTTTTCGATTTTTCATTTTTGATTATACAATTTTTCGGTGTTCCGATTTTTCAGTTTTTCGATTATTTAATTTCTCGGTTTTTCACTTTGCCACTAATAATCCAGCTCAAAGCAAATATCAATCAGACTACTGACAGACAAAAAACTAGTTTATTCAACTTAAAGAAAAATATCAATCGTGAATGCATAATATTTTTATTTTAGCTTATGATGTTTGCCATAAAAGCATAAAATTCGCAAAATCAATCTTGTTTTGCAGAAAAATCAGACCCTGCCACAACTCTCATAGCCAACAAATTTAACTCCGCCCACACTCTCGCGGAGCAAGTCGAAGCCATACGAAGCACCCTCGGCGTCAACGACCAAAACAACGACCTTATCGAAGAGGACTTAAAAACGACTTTGGGAGCGCATTTCACGCTGAAAAAAATCTCCTTCAACTTTCGACTACTAACTTCCGAAAACTTAGACATCCACATCCAACTTGAAAGTGAAACCCAGTCCAAGTGTCTACAAAAAATCAAAGAACTGATTTGTAAAAGCGACAAATTCTCTGACGTTTTTCTAATTTCGACTCAGATTATATGCACACATACCGAAACCGGGACCGTTTGCAACTTGAACACCGACGATAAATTCTCAGAGCACAGGCGCAACTTACTTAAGTATTACTTAAGTCTGGACGAAAACGTGGCTCGGTTAATGTCGTACGTGAAACTGTGGGCGGATCACGGTAAATTCACCGGAGTGTACGGGTTTTCGAGTGATGCCATCTACACAATGGTTGTGTTTTTCCTACAAGTGCATTATAACCTACCGTGTGTGAGACAACTCCAAGATAACCAACCCCCGGTGGAAATCGACGGCTGGAACTGCGCTTTTAAACCACTCGAGTTCAGGAACGACCACCTCCGAAATTGCAATATTCGAGATTTGGTGGTCCAATTTTTCGAGTTCTATGGAAATTTTGACTATGTGTCTCAAGTGATTTCGCCGTTTTTGGGCGAAGTTGTCGACAAAGTGCGATTTTTAAAACCGTACGACCTTCCCGATTCTTACCACAGATACATCCAAAAAAATGGAGTTCTTACTGTTGATTCGTCGTTGTGTATTCAGGACTTTTACGATCATGGGCGCAACGTTTCTACCGCGCAACTTTACCTATCCGGGATGTTTTCAATCGTGTGCTATTTCTCGGCCGAAATAATCAAAAGTAACGAAATTAACTTCATGCAGAAACCTAAACTCGATCACCGGACTTGTCTGAGTATCCAAGTGGCTACAACTGATGCGAAGGAGTTGCAGACTGTCGTAGAAACGATATTCAAAAAAGTGTTTGCGTGTACGATATGGCCGGTGGCGCCTGGAAACATATTCGCTAGGTATGAGGGTGTCGCACTGTACGATATTTGGTCGACTAGAATGGTCTCTTTGAAAAAGGTAGGACCAATACCGGATAGAATCGAGAGACAAGCGTGCGTGACTTCGAGTATTGTTAGAGAGTCGCAGCAGAACGTGTGCGCAAAGTTCAGTCTGTCTTTGATAGAACGGACTGACTATGTGGAAATTCATTTCGTAAGGATAAGCGATTTTCCGGTTGCTTTTCATTTGTGGAGTTTCTTGCGGGTGGAATTTTTCAAGGAGCAGAATCGACTCAGCGGATACGTCCTGAAGGATTTGCCGTACTCGATCAAGGTTCCACAACCTGAAATTCCCGTGGTGGCAGACAGAACTGACACCCAGGAACCAAGTTCTTCCGGTAAGTAAATTTTTTGTATTTGTTATAGTGTATACTGGTCACGGCACCAACAACGCGTTCGTTTCAGACCAAGACCTTCCAATCGCTGAACTTAACCGCAACAACCCGCCCACATTTACCCAACAAGTGTCTTTCTTTCACACGAATTTCGTGACCGATAAAGTCACACTAGACCAACAGCTGAAGACACTTTCCTCCGATTTGTCTTCAGTTTTGAGCAACGGGGGTAAATTCGTCTTCTACGGATCCGCGGTCACAGGCTTGCATTTACGCCACAGCGACATAAACATCCAAATATACGAGAGAAGTCCAATGAAAATCAAGACACTCCTGTGTGAAAGTAACGCATTCTCGGACGTCAGCTGTCCCGACAACGTACAAATCAAATGCGTCCACGTCGCTACCCAGCTACGACTTAGCTTGACTTTCAGACGCGGAATCGCCGTCAAAACTAGTCAGTTGATCTCGTATTACTTAAGTCTGGACGAAAAGTTGCCCCCTCTAGTGACAACAATCAAATACTGGATGTATTACCAGAAGCTACTTAAAGACGGCCAGTTCACCGGATACGCCATAACCTTGATGGTCATCTTTTACCTTCAGGAAGTCTATAAATTCCCTTCTGTCGTCAGTTTACAAAATAAGTGTGCGCCGGTTTACGTGGATAACTGGAATTGCGCATACGATTCAACTCCCGCCGCTGAGTCGCTTCCGGAATTGGGGACTTTGTTCGATTTGGTTAAAGGTTTTTTCAAGTTTTACGGCGACTTGGACTATTTCTTGTTTGTGGTGACGCCGTTCATCGGAACTCCGGCTGCTAAATCGCGCTTTTTGAGCCCTTTTACTTTGCCGGAAGAGTACAAGTGTTACGTGACTATGCAGCAGGAGCTTGCCGTGGACTCGGGACTGTGCGTCCAGGACCCGTTCGAACATTCGCGGAATCTCACAGCTTCGATTACCTATTGGGACGCGTGTGAGTTTGCTATGCGTTGCAGAGACGCAGTGCGTCGTATGCACTTGGAGGAAGACAGGATGCTGAGCGATTTGTTCATGTATAACAAATGGCTTAAAGTTGAGTTTTCCTTGTTGAAGCCTTGTAAACTGAGCAAGGAGAAGTGGGTCCAGGATGTTAAAGATCTGACATCTAAGATTTTAGCTAGAGTTTTGGGGTGTAAAATGATGGATGTTACTAATGCTAATGGTTGTACGTTGTACAAGTGTAAAGGTTCTAACGCCGTGCGCGAGAATAGGATAAAGACGTTAAAGGGCCTGTTGAAAGGGATGCGCAGTAATATCAGTTCGATTGAGAAAGAGATCGCCGTGACTACCCAAATCATGAAAAGTTTTAACTGTCCGAATCAAGGTACGTGGAACTTCAAAGTGCGGGTAATCACTGAAGATAACCCATTTAGAGTGACTTTTTCTGTGTCGGGTTCAACGGAAGAGTACTTTTGCCACTTCTTATACACCAGATTGGTGAAGTTTTTAGCCAGCGAAGTCAAGGCACCTATTACACTTTATTATCCGAGCGTGGTTCCTACTACCGTAGAGGCACCCGTTGTTAAAATTGAAGAACTCACTCCAACGGTATCTTTGAAACGACCAATCGAGGACTCTTCACCCGTCTCTACGAAAAAAATGAAACCAACAGATGTCAATACGTCTCAGGATGATGAATCGCAGCAGCAACCAGTGTCTGCAAACGAAGAAACAGAAACTTGCGAAATTGTTGCAACGGCTGCTCCACAAACTGAAGAATTGAACGAAATTACGGCTGTATTGACTGATACAGAGGTTGCTTCTGGTTCTGTTGAACCAGAGGTTGCTTCTGTTTCTGTTGAACCTAGTGGTGCGGACGTAACTCCCGATTCGTCTGTTTGTGCCGAAGCTGCGAATGCTACACCTGGTTCGTCTGCGGTCGAAGAACCGAGCGCTGTTTCGTCGAATGTGACACTAGTCAACCAAGAAATCGAAGATCAGGTGCCTTCCACGTCAACTGACGAGCAATCCCCCCAAGAAGCGTCGTTGCTTTCTTCGCCGAGCCAGGTTTCGATTTGTACGGATTCCACATGCGATTTTAGTGAGTTTCGCTTATTGTCGTTCCAATCTAATACCATTGTTTAAGTATATTATAGTTGGACAACCTAATACAAATTTTACTTCGCCTAAATAGTGAGCTTTAGGACAAGGAATCCAGGGGGCGTGGGACAAATTTTTCGTCGTTTATTGGGTTTATTTTACTCTACTTCAGATGGTGCCATCAAACATTAGCAAAGGCAAACACCCTTCACTGTGCTCTTATACGAGGAGTTATCCATAAATCCGTAATTAACATTCCGTAAGGAGTAATGTGTATAGACATATATATATACAAAATATGAAAATATACTTGACATAAAAAATATGAAGCAACGCGTTCTAACGTGATACGAAAGAATTGTATTTAAATGAATTTGACGCCTATTGTTATTTGACTATATCTGAGAACTGACAGAAACTTACCAAGAGTTTTTAAACTGGTATAATTGTTTAGTTTTACAAGATTTAGTAAAATTTTGATTCGTGGTGTTACAAAAATATTAACACAAAATGAAAATATATATTCAAAGTAAATAATAGAATGACATAAACTTTCGGCGTTGACATTACAAATAAATAAATAATTACAAGACAGGAAAAAAAACGCATTTTCCAATTTATAATGTTATTTAATTTTTAAAAAATAGCATAGTCCTGATCTTGTGATTTATAAATACGCCATTGAGACTTTTAGGCTTTTCGAGTTCTCGATTTTTCAACTTTAAATGTCTCAATTTTTCAATATTTCAATTTTGGGTTTTTCCAATTCTTCCATTCTTCGAATTTTCCATTTCTCGATTTTTACTTTTTGGATTTTCAATTTATTGTTAAACTTTAGATTTTTCAATTCTTCGACTGTTTTATACTTCGATTTTTTTTTTCGGTGTTTTAATATTTCATTTTTTAAAATTCTAGGTTTTTCGATATCTCGAGTTTTCAGTACTTCTGTATTTCAATTTTTCCAATTTTTTAATTTTAATTGTCGATTTTCCAGTTTTTCTTTTTTAACATTTTTCGATTATTCAATTTTTTAATTTCTCAATTTATCGAATTCAGATATTTCATTGTTTTGATTGTTTAGTTTCTCAATTTTTCAATTTTTAACTTTCCTTTTCGACTTACGACTCCTCAATTTCTCGATCCTTCGATTTTTCGATTTCTCGATGTCTCAGTTTTTGAATTTTTCGATGTTTCGATTTTTGGATTTCTCGGTTTCTCGATTTTTTTCTTTTGAGCTTCTCAATTCCTGGATTTTCCAATTTTTAATGTACCGATTTTTCAATTTTTTAAATTGAATTGGATTTCTCGATTCTTCAATTTTGCCATATTTTAATTGTTCAATGTTTTAAAGCTTAGATTTTTCGATTTCTCGATTTTTTGGCTTCTCAGTTCTTCAGTATTTAAATTTTTCAATGAAAAAATTTTGACATTAAATTTTCAGTTTTCTGATTTCTCAATTAATCTATTTTTGATTTTCCCACTTCTCAAAGTTTCGATTTTTCAGTTCTTCAATTCTTCAATTTTTCGACTTCGCTTTATTGGTTTTTCGATTTTTCAATTTTTGGATATTTCTTTCAGTTTTGATATTTTTCAATACTTCGATTCTTTGATTTTTCGACCTCTAGATTTTTCGATTTTTTGTTTTTGGGTTTTCAGTTTTTCGTTTTTTATACATTAAATTTCACAATTTTTCGATTGTTTTATATTTCAATTTCTCAATTTTTCAAGTTTTCCATATTTTAATTTTTAAATTTCTAGATTTTTCGGTTTCTCGATTTTTTAGTTCTTCAATTTTTCGATTATTCAGGTCAGGTCAGTCGATTTTTCAATTTTTTAAATTGAATTGGATTTCTCGATTCTTCAATTTTGCCATATTTTAATTGTTCAATGTTTTAGATCTTAGATTTTTCGATTTCTCGATTTTTTGACTTCTCAGTTCTTCTCTATTTAAATTTTTCAATGAAAAAATTTTGACGTTAAATTTTCAGTTTTCTGATTTCCCAATTAATCTAATCTATTTTTGATTTTCCCACTTCTCAAAGTTTCGATTTTTCAGTTCTTCAATTCTTCAATTTTTCGACTTCGCTTTACTGGTTTTTCGATTTCTCAATTTTTGGATATTTCTTTCAGTTTTGATATTTTTCAATACTTCGATTCTTTGATTTTTCGACCTCTATTTTTCGATTTTTTATTTTTGGGTTTTCAGTTTTTCGTTTTTTATACATTAAATTTTACAATTTTTCGATTGTTTTATATTTCAATTTCTCAATTTTTCAACTTTTCCATATTTTAATTTTTAAATTTCTAGATTTTTCGGTTTCTCGATTTTTCAGTTCTTCAGTTCTTCAATTTTTCGATTATTCAGGTTTTTGATTTTTCAATTTTTCGATTTTTTAAGTTTGCGATTTTCTGACTCTGCTTTTTTGACTTTTCTGTTTCTCAATTTTTTAATTTCCTAATTTTTGGATATTTCGTTCAATTTTGTGATTTTTCAGTTTTTCGATTTCTCAATTTTAACTTTTCAATTTTTAAATTATTAGTTTTTTCGATTTTTTGAGTTTTCAGTTCTTCTGTATTTTAATTTTTCAATTTTCGGAATATTTAAATTTTCGATTGTCCAATTTTTTTTTATTTTTCGATTTTCCAATTGTTCGATGTTTCGATTTTTGAATTAATTCAATTTCTTGATTTTTAAATTTTAGATTTGCTCAAAATCACACTAATATTAGGTCTAATTGTACCGACCATAGTTATAAAATTCACATTAAAGTAAGTCACGGACATTTTTTGAAGTGTACTACATTTCTATACCTGTGATTTATCATTGCAGTAATATTTTTTAGATTTACTTATACAGCCTGTCACAAAAAAGGTCACTTCGATTTTCGATTTTTCGTTTTTTCGACCAACAGTTTCATCGAATTAGATTTTTCAGTTTCCATTTTTCTATCAACTTTTCGATTTTATTACTTTCTAATTTTCTGATTTTTTAAAAATTTGCGGTATTTTGATTTTTCGAGTTTTCAGTTTTTTTGTTTTTCGATTTTTTAATTTTTCGTTTTTTTGATTTTTCGATGTTTCGATTTTTTAATTTGCCATTCTTTCAATTTTCGATTTTTCGTCTTTCCACTTTTAGATTTTTCGATTTTTCTGTTCGTCAGTTTTTAGACTTTGCAATTTTTTTGCATTTTTCGATTATATTTTACTTTCCGATTTTTTTGATTTTTGAATTCTCGATTTTACGTTTTTAATTCTTCGATTTCCGATTTTTCGATTTTCCATTAATCATAAAATTTTTCGGTTGTTTTATTTTTCGACCTTCAATTTTTCAACTTTCGATTATTCGATTTTCCATTTTCTGATTTTACGATTTTTCGATTTGCGATTTTTCGATTTTCGTTTTTCCGCTTTTGTGGTTTTTCGATTTTTCTGTTTGTTTCAGTTTTTATGGTTCTGCAATTTGCAGCTTTTAGATTTCAATTTTGTGACTTTCCGATTTTCCACTTTTCGATTTTTTTATTTTTTTTCGATCGTCGTTTTTTCGATTTTCGTTTTTTCGATTTTTTGATTTTTCAATTTTTAGGCCTTGCAATTTTTTTACTTTTCGTTTTTTCGAGTATTTGTCTCATCGAATTTTCGAGTTTTCGATTTTTCGGTTTTCGATTTTTCGATTTTCCATGTTTAGATAGATATTTTTCGATTTTTTTTTATTTTTCGATTTTTTTTTATTTTTCGATTGTTCTGTTCGTCAGTTTTGAGACTTTGCAATTTTTACTTTTCCACTTTTCTATTATTTTAGTTTCGGATTATTCGATTTTTGAATTTTCGTTTTTTTTTTAATTTTTCGATTTCCGATTTTTTAATTTTTCGATTTTTCGGTTTTTTAATTTGTCGATTCTCGATATTCCGATTTTCGATTTTTCGATTTTCCACTTTTTGATTTTACGATTTTTCGATTTTTCTGTTCGTCAGTTTTTAGGCTTTGCAATTTGTTTACTTTTCGATTTTCGATTATTTTTTTCAAGGTTTTTGATTTTTGAATTGTCGACTTTTAGAGTTTTCAATATTATGAATTTTCGATTTTCGGTTTTTCCATTTTTAGATTTTTGATTTTCCAGTTTTGTATTTTCAGATTTTCTGTTTTTCGCATATCTGATTTATCAAATTTTCGATTTTTCGGCTTTTCGATTTTTCGATATTTGATTTTCGAATTTTCGATTGTTCAGTTTTCGATTTTTCAGCTTTTAGACTTCAATTTTTTTACTTTTCGATTTTCCAAATTTTCGAGTTTCAATTTTCAGATTTTTGATTTTTCGATTTTTTTTTTAAATTTTTGAATTTTTCGGTTTTGATTTTTCGAATTTTTGATTTTTAATTTTGCCATTCTTCGGTTTTTAGACTTCAATTTTCTTTCTTTTAAATTTTTCGATATTCTATTTTCCGCTTTTCAGAATTTTCGGTTTTCAGTTTTCAGACTTTCGATGATTAGAATTTTGGATTTTTCAGTTTTATGATTTTTCGATTTTTAGAAAATTTGAGTAGTCGAATTTTCGATTTTTCAATTCATCGATTTTTCAATGTTCAATTTTTCAATTTAAATTTTGCGATTTTCAATTTGTCCATTGTCAATTTTTAGAATTTTCGGTTTTTCAATTTTTTCATTCTCAACTGTTAGACTTCAATTTTGTTGCTTTCCGATTTTTTGGTTTTCGATTTTCCTATTTTCAGAATTTCCAAGTTTCTTTATTCAGATTTTCGATTTTCCACTTTTTCGATTTTAGATTTTTCGAATTTTTGTTTTTCCAATTTTTTGTTTTTCGATTTTTCTGTTCGTTTCAGTTTTTGGTTTTCGATTTTTCGATTTTTTTTTATTTTTCGATTGTTCTGTTCGTCAGTTTTGAGACTTTGCAATTTTTACTTTTCCACTTTTCTATTATTTTAGTTTCGGATTATTCGATTTTTGAATTTTCTTTTTTTTTTAATTTTTCGATTTCCGATTTTTTAATTTTTCGATTTTTCGGTTTTTTAATTTGTCGATTCTCGATATTCCGATTTTCGATTTTTCGATTTTCCAATCTTCGATTTTTCAATTTCCAGTTTTCGATTTTCCACTTTTTGATTTTACGATTTTTCGATTATTTTTTTCCAGTTTTTTGATTTTTGAATTGTCGACTTTTAGAGTTTTCAATATTATGAATTTTCGATTTTCGGTTTTTCCATTTTTAGATTTTTGATTTTCCAGTTTTGTATTTTCAGATTTTCTGTTTTTCGCATATCTGATTTATCAAATTTTCGATTTTTCGGCTTTTCGATTTTTCGATGTTTGATTTTCGAATTTTCGATTGTTCGGTTTTCGATTTTTCAGCTTTTAGACTTCAATTTTTTTACTTTTCGATTTTCCAAATTTTCGAGTTTCAATTTTCAGATTTTTGATTTTTCGATTTTCTTTTTAAATTTTTGAATTTTTCGAATTTTTGATTTTAAATTTTTCCATTCTTCGGTTTTTAGACTTCAGTTTTCTTTCTTTTAAATTTTTCGATATTCTATTTTCCGCTTTTCAGAATTTTCGATTTTCAGTTTTCAGACTTTCGATGATTAGAATTTTGGATTTTTCAGTTTTATGATTTTTCGATTTTTAGAAAATTGAGTAGTCGAATTTTCGATTTTTCAATTCATCGATTTTTCAGTGTTCAATTTTTCAATCTAAATTTTGCGATTTTCAATTTGTCCATTGTCAATTTTTAGAATTTTCGGTTTTTCAATTTTTTCATTCTCAACTGTTAGACTTCAATTTTGTTACTTTCCGATTTTTTGGTTTTCGATTTTCCAATTTTCAGAATTTCCAAGTTTTTTTGTTCAGATTTTCGATTTTCCACTTTTTCGATTTTAGATTTTTCGAATTTTTGTTTTTCCAATTTTTTGCTTTTTCGATTTTTCTGTTCGTTTCAGCTTTTAGACTTTGCAATTTCTTTTACTTTATATATTTTGGTTATTTTAATTTCCGATTTTTTTAATTTTTGTTTTTGATAGTTTTAATTTTCAATATTACAAATTTTTGACTTTTCGATTTTTTGGTTTTCCCGTTTTTCAATTTTCGATTTTTGAGGTTTGTGAATTTCCACTTTTCGATCGACCTAGGTATTTGATTCATTGAATTTTCGATTTTTTGATTAGCCATTTTTAGATTTTCGATTTTTACGATTTGTATTTTTCGATTTTCTGTTTTTTGCATTAGTGAATTTCAGTTTTTCCGATTTTTGATTTTGCGCATATTTGATTAATCAAATTTTCGATAAAGTTACCATGCTTACAAAAACTTCAAAACATCTACAATATTTCAAAGTATTCAGTTTTGCTATTCTTGATTTCTTCAATAAAATAAATTGAATCAGTCATTAACTTTTTTGAGACACCCTGTATAACCAAATCTAAAAAATATTAATGCAGTGATAAATCACAACTATAAAACTCATCAGATTTTATACATTTAAGATAGGATTTATTCTGCAAAATTTTGAGGTGACGTCAGAAATTTTTTAGAGGGGATAACCAAATATATTTTAATTAAAAATGTATCATGTTTATCATGATTTTAAAACATCTGCAAGATTTCAAAGTATTCGATTTTGCAAATTCAAAATTAAATTGCAAAATATTGTTTTATAATTTTGATTTTTTTTCCAAAAATCTGGACGTTTCGGATAAAAACTCAACACGGAGTCATAAACTACATGTGTAGGACTATGTTACTGTATACAATTTAAAACCCATTTACTATGCATAAATTTGAAGTGACGTCATCACATTATTGGTGGGGATGATTAGACAAATTTAATAATTTTGCGACATTTATATACATATATACCAAATGTATATATGACTACTGTCCGTCCCGTTATTGTCAATAAAATTTTATAGGGTAAAATGTGAATTTCGTTGTAGTTTGAGCCTACCTACAAATTCTGCCCTTGAAGGATTTGGACCGCCTTCTTCGGTGAGGGCAGGCAAAAACGATCCGCCCATAGGCTCAAAACATTTGCGTGCGATTGTACAACGTACTGACTAATACGTCCGTTTACTACCTTATCGACATCACGTGCTTACAGACTATTTTTACCTCCTTTCGTAAGGTACCGCCACTTCACAGTGAAGCGAGTGAGATGTAAAATACATGTATGTTCATTCTTTTCTACATGGGAAAGTGATTCTCCGTATAGGTTGTCCAACTATAATATACTTAAAAAATGCTAATACTTAATTATTTATTTAATTTTAGAAAAAATGAAGCAATGGGTTCTTAAAAAGTCGAAGGAGAAACCGACCTTCGACGCGCAAGTGTCGTACTACTGCTCGAAATTGCTACTCGATAAAAAGACAATCGAAGCAAACCATGTTATAATCCAGCGCGATTTAGCGTTGGCTTTGGCCTCTAGACACACTTTCACCAACATCCATTTCTTCGGATCTTCAGTCATGGAGTTATTCAGCGAAGATAGCATTCTCGATATCTATGTCGAAAAACTTGAATCGCGTGAGGGTTTCACCGGACTAAAGGTGGATTTAATCCAAGAGTGTCTAGTCGACAGTGGCAAATTTTACGAAGTGTCGACTTCTTTAGCCGACCAGGCGGTCAAGTGCAGACATAGAGAAACCAAAATCGAGTGTGAAATTCGAATGAATAGTAAACTACCAGTGTGTAACAGTCGCTTAATCCACTACTACCTCACCCTCGACCCGAAACTGCGCCCTCTCTTCTTCGTGATTAAAGCCTGGGCGGAGTCGCAACAACTCAAAAAAGTGTCCTTTTTTTCCAATTACTCAATCTACATCCTGATCATTTTCTACCTCCAACAAGACCCGTACAAAATTCCTCCGGTGAGCGAGCTCCAGAAGAACGCCCCGCCCGAGTTCATAGGCGACTGGAACGGCGCTTTCATCCCCATCCAGTTCACCAGTCCCGCTCTCAAAAGCGCCACGCTCAAAGACCTCGTACTCGGCTTCTTCAAATTCTACTCCTCCTTCGACTATTTCTCGTACGTCATCGCCCCATTCTTCGGCTCCATAATCAACAAACTATGTTTCCTCAAACCCTACGACTTACCCCCGTGCTACGAAAACTTCATAAGCGCCAACCACCTCATGTTCATGGAATTCGGTACCTGGGTCCAGGACCCGTTCTGTCACTCCAAAAACATCACAGCCGCTGTGAACCTCATCAGCATGGGGAGATTCGCGGCGCTGTGTCGCTCCGCCCTCCAACTTGAAACCCCGAACGAGAAACAGCTCCTGTGTCGACTTATCCTCCAGTGCCAGAACGGCTCCCTGGTGGACTACCGCGGGGTCGAAATCGAAAAAGGGGAAATGTGGGATGAATTGCACTGGATCCAGATCGTTCGAAACGTGTTGTTTGTAATCGTCACGAATATCCTGTGTTGCAACATCCTGCAGGTGCAGCAGAAACGATTGAACGAAGGGACCAGGACTATTAACATCGCGAATAAACTGCGGACGGGGAAAGTCGACCAAATCGTGCTCAATTGTATGGGGATGAGGAACATCTGGGACGGTCGAATCCACATTTTGAAAATGTGGCAGGATCAGATATCGCGGGATAGTACCTGCTTCGACGTGGACGTGTTCGTGTCGAACTTGATACGGAACGACGTTCGGAGGGTGGCGACGTACGATTTGTGTGTGGAGATGACGTTCATTAGGGACCCGACGAGTGTGAGGATTGCGGTATACGGGGCGAATAAATTGCACTTCACGCACTACTTCTACACGAGGATGCTGAAGGCGTTGGAGGCGGCGGAGCTGAAGGAGCAGATCTGCAATCAGTTCAACGTGGACTCGACAGGTAGCAAATTTGATTATTTTTTAGCGATATGGGCATAAACCTTGTTGATCGTGCATGTGAAGCTCATGATATAACCATTGTTTAAGTATATTATAGTTGGACAACCTAATACAAATTTTACTTCGCCTAAATAGTGAGCTTTAGGACAAGGAATCCATTTCTGGACTTCCTAAAGTTTCGATTTTTCTCATCTTCAAATTCTTCAATTTTTCGATTTTTTAAGATTACGATTTTTCGATTTTGCGTTTATAGATTTTCAATTTCTCAATTTTCCAATTTTTTAATTTCTCAATTTTTTGAATATTTCTTTCAGTTATGAGATTTTTCAATATTTCAATTTTTCGACTTTTCGATTTTTGAATTGATGGATTTTTTTTGATTTCTCGATTTTTTACTTTTTGGATTTTCAATTTATTGTAAACTTTAGATTTTTCAATTTTGCGACTGTTTAATGCTTCGATTTCTCAATTTTTCAACTTTTCGATGTTTTAATATTTCATTTTTTAAAATTCTAGGTTTTTCGATATCTCGAGTTTTCAGTTCTTCTATATTTCAATTTTTCAATTTTTCGATTTTCTAGTTTGTCTTTTTTAAAATTTTTCGATTATTCATTCTTTTCATTTCTCAATTTATTGAATTCAGATGTTTCGTTGTTTTGATTATTCAATTTCTCGATCCTCCGATTTTTCGATTTCTCGAAGTCTCAGTTTTTGAATTTTTCGATGTTTCGATTTTTGGATTTCTCGGTTTTTCGATTTTTTTCTTTTGAGCTTTCCAATTTTTGGATTTCCCAATTTTTCAATGTCCCAATTTTTCAAATTGAATTGGATTTCTCGATTCTTCAATTTTGCGATATTTTAATTATTCAATGTTTTAAATTTCAGTTTTTCGATTTCTCGATTTTTTGACTTTTCAGTTCTTCAATATTTGAATTTTTCAATTTTTCAAATTTTTGCGTTATATTTTCAGTTTTCTGATTTCTCAATTAATCTATTTTTAATTTTCTCACTTCTCAAAGTTTCGATTTTTCAGTTCTTCAATTCTTCGATCTTTCGACTTCGCTTTATTGATTTTTCGATTTCTCAATTTTTGAATATTTCTTTCTGTTTTGATATTTTTCAACACTTCGATGCTTTGATTTTCGACTTCTAGATTTTTCTATTTTTTATTTTTGGATTTCCAGTTTTTTGTTTTTTATACTTTAGATTGTTCAATTTTTCGATTGTTTTATATTTCAATTTCTCAATTTTTCAACTTTTCCCTATTTTAATTTTTAAATTTCTATATTTTTCGGCTTCTCGAGTTTCCAGTTCTATATTTTAATTCTTCAAATTTCCAAATTTTTAAATTTTTTGAGATCTCAAGTTATTTTATTATTATTTATTATTATGTTTTAATTATTCAATCTCTCGCTTTATCAATCTTTCTATATTTCAGTTTTCGATTTTTCGACTTCTCGATTTTTCGACTCCTCGATTTTTTTGTCTTTTGACTTTTCGATTTCTCGATGTCTCAATTTTTGAATTTTACAATGTTTCGATTTTTCGATTTTTTGCTTTTCGGTTTCTCGATTTTTCGATGTTTCGATTTTTGATTTATCCGATTTTTCATTTATCCAATTTTTTAAATTCTCGACTTCTCGATTCGTTGATTTTTCAGTTTTTCGATTTTTAAATTTTAGATATTCGAATTTTTAGTTTTTTTATTTTTTGATGTTTGGGTTTCTCCATTTTTCAGTTTTAAGATATTTTAACTTTTCAATGTTTCAAATTTTAGATTTTTCGATTTTTCATTCTTTAATATTTTTTTTATTTTTCAAATTTTGACGTTTCTAAATTTTTAGTTTTCGAATTTCTCAATTAATCTATTTTTTTATATTCCCATTTATCCACTTATTAAAGTTTCGATTTTTCAGTTCGTCAGTTCTTCAATTTTTCGATTATTCAGGTTTGATTTTTCAATTTTTAGATTTTTTAAGTTTGCGATTTTTCGACTCTGCTTTTTTGACTTTTCTGTTTCTCAATTTTTTAATTTCCTAATTTTTTGATATTTCGTTCAATTTTGTGATTTTTCAGTTTTTCGATTTCTCAATTTTAACTTTTCAATTTTTAAATTATAATTTTTTTTTGAGTTTTCAGTTCTTCTATATTTTAATTTTTCAATTTTTGGAATTTTTAAATTTTCGATTGTCCAATTTTTTTTATTTTTCTATATTTAAGTTTTCGATTTTTCGATTTTGGCCTATTTCGGTTTCTCAATTTTTTGATTTTTCGACTCCTCGATTTTTTCGTCTTTTGATTTTTCGATTTCTCGATGTCTCAATTTTTGAATTTTACAATGTTTCGATTTTTCGATTTGTTGGTTTTTCGATTTTTTGCTTTTCGGTTTCTCGATTTTTCGATGTTTCGATTTTTGGTTTATCCGATTTTTCAATTTTCCAATTTTTTAAATTCTCGACTTCTCGATTCGTTGATTTTTCAGTTTTTCGATTTTTAAATTTTAGATTTTCGAATTTTGATTTTTTTGATTTTTTGATGTTTGGGTTTCTCCATTTTTCAGTTTTAAGATATTTTAACTTTTCAATGTTTTAAATTTTAGATTTTTCGATTTTTCATTCTTTAATATTTTTTAATTTTTAAAATTTTGACGTTTCTGAATTTTTAGTTTTCGAATTTCTCAATTAATCTATTTTTTTATATTCCCATTTATCCACTTATTAAAGTTTCGATTTTTCAGTTCGTCAGTTCTTCAATTTTTCGATTATTCAGGTTTTTGATTTTTCAATTTTTAGATTTTTTAAGTTTGCGATTTTTCGACTCTGCTTTTTTGACTTTTCTGTTTCTCAATTTTTTAATTTCCTAATTTTTTGATATTTCGTTCAATTTTGTGATTTTTCAGTTTTTCGATTTCTCAATTTTAACTTTTCAATTTTTCAATTTTTGGAATTTTTAAATTTTCGATTGTCCAATTTTTTTTATTTTTTTATATTCAAGTTTTCGATTTTTCGATTTTGGCCTATTTCGGTTTCTCAATTTTTTGATTTTTCGACTCCTCGATTTTTTCGTCTTTTGATTTTTCGATTTCTGGATGTCTCAATTTTTGAATTTTACAATGTTTCGATTTTTTGATTTGTTGGTTTTTCGATTTTTTGCTTTTCGGTTTCTCGATTTTTCGATGTTTCGATTTTTGATTTATCCGATTTTTCAATTTTCCAATTTTTTAAATTCTCGACTTCTCGATTCGTTGATTTTTCAGTTTTTCGATTTTTTAATTTTAGATTTTCGAATTTTTATTTTTTTGATTTTTTGATGTTTGGGTTTCTCCATTTTTCAGTTTTATGATATTTTAACTTTTCAATGTTTTAAATTTTAGATTTTTCGATTTTATCATTCTTTAATATTTTTTTATTTTTCAAATTTTGACGTTTCTGAATTTTTAGTTTTCGAATTTCTCAATTGATCAATTTTTTTATATTTTTATCCACTTATTAAAGTTTCGATTTTTCAGTTCGTCAGTTCTTCAATTTTTCGATTATTCAAGTTTTTGATTTTTCAATTTTTAGATTTTTTAAGTTTGCGATTTTTCGACTCTGCTTTTTTGACTTTTCTGTTTCCCAATTTTTTAATTTCCTAATTTTTTGATATTCGTTCAATTTTGTGATTTTTCAGTTTTTCGATTTCTCAATTTTAACTTTTCAATTTTTCAATTTTTGGAATTTTTAAATTTTCGATTGTCCAATTTTTTTTATTTTTTTACATTTAAGTTTTCGATTTTTCGATTTTGGCTTATTTCGGTTTCTCAATTTTTTGATTTTTCGACTCCTCGATTTTTTCGTCTTTTGATTTTTCGATTTCTGGATGTCTCAATTTTTGAATTTTACAATGTTTCGATTTTTTGATTTGTTGGTTTTTCGATTTTTTGCTTTTCGGTTTCTCGATTTTTGATTTATCCGATTTTTCAATTTTCCAATTTTTTAAATTCTCGACTTCTCGATTCGTTGATTTTTTCAGTTTTTCGATTTTTAAATTTTAGATTTTCGAATTTTTATTTTTTTGATTTTTTGATGTTTGGGTTTCTCCATTTTTCAGTTTTAAGATATTTTAACTTTTCAATGTTTTAAATTTTAGATTTTTCGATTTTTCATTCTTTAATATTTTTTTATTTTTCAAATTTTGACGTTTCTGAATTTTTAGTTTTCCAATTTCTCAATTAATCTATTTTTTTTATATTCCCATTTATCCACTTATTAAAGTTTCGATTTTTCAGTTCGTCAATTCATCAATTTTTCGATTATTGAGGTTTTTGATTATTCAATTTTTAGATTTTTTAAGTTTGCGATTTTTCGACTGTGCTTTTTTGACTTTTCTGTTTCTCAATTTTTTAATTTCGTAATTTTTGGTTATTTCGTTCAATTTTGTGATTTTTCAGTTTTTCGATTTCTCAATTTTAACTTTTCAATTTTTAAATTATTAATTTTTTTCGATTTTTTGACTTTTCAGTTCTCCTATATTTCAATTTTTCAATTTTCGGAATTTTTAAATTTTCGATTGTCCAATTTTTTTTTATTTTTCTATATTTAAGTTTTCGATTTTGGCCTATTTCGGTTTCTCAATTTTTTGATTTTTCGACTCCTCGATTTTTTCGTCTTTTGATTTTTCGATTTTTCGATGTCTCAATTTTTGAATTTTACAATGTTTCGATTTTTCGATTTGTTGGTTTTTCGATTTTTTGCTTTTCGGTTTCTCGATTTTTCGATGTTTCGATTTTTGATTTATCCGATTTTTCAATTTTCCAATTTTTTAAATTCTCGACTTCTCGATTCGTTGATTTTTCAGTCTTTCGATTTTTAAATTTTAGATTTTCGAATTTTTATTTTTTTGATTTTTTGATGTTTGGGTTTCTCCATTTTTCAGTTTTAAGATATTTTAACTTTTCAATGTTTTAAATTTTAGATTTTTCGATTTTTCATTCTTTAAATTTTTTTATTTTTCAAATTTTGACGTTTCTGAATTTTTAGTTTTCAAATTCTCAATTGATCTATTTTTTATATTCCCATTTATCCACTTATTAAAGTTTCGATTTTTCAGTTCGTCAGTTCTTCAATTTTTCGATTATTCAGGTTTTTGACTTTTCTGTTTCTCAATTTTTTAATTTCCTAATTTTTTGATATTTCGTTCAATTTTGTGATTTTTCAGTTTTTCGATTTCTCAATTTTTACTTTTTAATTTTTTGCCGCCACTTCACAGTGAAGCGAGTGAGATGTAAAATATATGTTCATTCTTTTCTACACGGGAAAGGATCATATAATAAATTATTATTATATGATCTAAGAAAGTGATTCTCCGTAAAGGTTATCCAACTACAATATACTTAAACAATGATATAACTTACCCGGATACAACTAAGTCGGTTATTTGTTTGTAGCTTTACCAGTGAGCCCCGTATCCAAGCCGTACAAGATCTTGGTCAAAGGTACAACAACAATCTTGTTAAAAACCACTACAAACCTTATTTGTAGGTAAATTCCAGTGCGAGAAGGTTCTCGAAGTTCACGATTCGTTTTCAACATTTGGCAAAATCGTGGGTGTAAATATCGTAGGCGAGGACACAAATCTGGGTATAGAGTATTGCTTCGCAGATTGTGCCGTCTACCTTCGAGTGATACAAGAAGAGCACGTGGTTTTCGATCAAAAAGTGAAAATAGTGCCCCTCGCTCCGATAAAAGCACGACCACCTAATGGTACGTAACACGACTAGAACAATAGTAGCTTAATTTATTTTTGTAGCGCGATTCAAGGACTGGCGACTGGCGGTAACACACAGCGTTATCGAAAACTCGCCCTTTGATCAACAAGTGGAAACTCTATGGAGCTCACTTCACTCCAACAAACTCGAACTCGAACAACGAAACGAAACCATCCGAAACGACTTCAACTGCGCACTGTTTTCGAAATTCGCAGACGGTAAAGTCTACTCAGGTGGTAATATTGCAGGTTTGGACATCGACCATGACTACGTTGACGTGTTCGTGGAAAATGTATCCACAGACGACGAGTTGGCAACGTTGCAAACCATGAAAGATCTCATTTGTAGCAATAATAGTTTCTGTGGAGTGTCACTTTCACTCGGTACGAGTGCGCACATCGAGTGCGCACACGTCAAAACCGAAGTCAAGTGTTACTTAAGACTCAGAAACAAAATGTCGGTGAGCCGCAACCGCTTGATTAAGTACTACTTAAGCTTAGACAGTAAATTGTCTAAGTTTATGTTGTTACTTAAGTTTTGGGCGGATTGCTACGACTTGATCGACCCGAAAGCTTTCTCAGACAGCGCCATCTACTTAATGGCGATATTCTACCTCCAGCAGGACCCTTACAAGCTACCACCGGTCAAAGATCTCCAGGAAAACGTCGACTCCGAGGACACCGCGCCCTGGAATAGTTCTTACGCGGAAATCCTCGATTTCTCTAGTCCTGCTCTGGAAAACGCGACAGTCCTCGAACTGTTCCTCGGTTTTTTGCGCTTCTACTCCAACTTCGACTACGTCACGTACGTCGTTTCGCCATACTTCGGCTCGCCTCTCGAGAAAGTCCGTTTCGTGAAACCCTACGTCGTCCCGCAGTGTTTCACGCAATTCTCGACCCAAAGCAAAGACTTAAACGCGACTTCCAGTATTTGCGTCCAGGACTTCTTCGAGCATTGTGTGAACCTCACGTCTTCCGTCACTTTGGATTGCATGGGACGCTTCACCAATCTTTCCCGATCCTGTCTTCAAGTAGCCGAATCCGAGGAGGATTTCCTCTTGTATAAGTTTTTAGTAAACGCGCAGCCGGACATCTTCGAGTACCCGTCGTTCGTTATCGAAAAAACCAACGACTGCGACGAGCAGGAGTGGATCCAGGAAATCAAGACCCTCTCTTTGAAGATTTTGTCGGATATTTTGAACTACAAGTTGTCGACGATTTCGGCTTTCGGGGCGGAGAAGACGAGTTTCGGGTGCGTGGGTCAACACGACGTGTGGAAAAACCGGGTCAAGGCGATGAAGACGCTGTCGGCGCAGACGACGCTCCGGGGCATCGACAAAGAAGTCGCCGTCACGACCCAGGTTATTATAGACTTTCCGGAGACGATCGCCTGGAACGTGTTCTTGGATTTGACTTTCTTGAAGAATCCGAGTCGGGTGAAAGTGGTTTTTTTGAGGAAAGCGGGGTGCTACAATGTGTATCACGTGTGCCATTTTCTGTACACTAGGTTGGTTAAGTTCTTGGACGGGGGACGTGCGGGGGAGTGTCTCGATATTGTGGAGGCGGCGTCAAGTAAGTATATTTGTGTTGTGTTTACTTTGTCCGATTTAAGTTTGCAGCGTCGAGTCGAGGAAATGAAGCGAAATGTTGAGGCAAACGGTGCACGATTTGTGTGTTCATGGTCATCTCGATTATCGTAGTTGGCTATGATTTGTTGTCATAGATCGGGTATTTTTGTTGGTTATGTAGTAGTTCTACAAGTGCAACCGGAACCTAACCTAACTTTTCGTTTTTCTTATTTTTTTTTTCGAGATTAGTGTAAGCTGTTTTTTGCACATGTTGCTGCATCCTTATCTTGGACAAATTTTAGTTGACTTTTTTGCTAACTCGTGAGAAGTTTGGCTGTTGTGAGTACAAAAAACTTGTTAAAATGAGTGAGTTGTTTAAAAATTCGTTTTATCATTTTTTGCTCAGCTGTATTGGTAGCGATTTTGTCGGTCATTAATTTGAAATATGTCGGCAACGTTTCATTACAGTTTGACTTGGTTTTTAGATTGTTTCTCATTTAAATCTCTGGCATTCACTGTTTAGAAATTTAAATTTTTGTAGCCTGTTTTTTCGGTATTTTTTTTTTTTGTGTGTTGTAGATGTTATTTTTCTTTTGTTACGTGGTTACGGTTTTGGACTTAAAGTCAAGACTTTTTATTGCTGATATTCATTTACGGTTTCTTTAAACTCTTAAAAAAAATTGTTTGTTGTATGTCTTCATCTCAGAAAAAGGTCATTCTATACTAGAGTCGGAGAGCAGACGAAGTTATCAATGCGTGAACAACGAACCTAACGTTACCATTGATAACGCAATGCGTGTCTTTGCTTTCACGCAGAGCACCTGTTGGACGATTTTAGTATAGGATCTTATTTAATTTGCCTTTTATTTTTAAATCGTTCGTATAGTTTGTGAAATTAACTTCAAAGAAGTCACTTCTTGCTTGAAATTATTTAATTGCAATAACCAAATTATTACAATTGTTTATGTTCGCATTAAAAATGGGGCTATTTCACAATTTGTTTAATACTTATCTAAAGAAAGTAGTGAACATTTCGCCTGTTCCGTGTTCTTCTTGTCGCGTGATCGTTATATTTGTGACACAATTTTTCTTCCCGAGCGTAAGCAAAGGAAGTATTGTAATCGAGTCCGTCGGCCGACTCTCTACTTTTAAGTTTTCTCGATCTTTCATGACCCCTAGAAGACGAAGAAATAGGTCTCCCATTTCCGTCTGTCTGTCCGTCTGTCCGTCTGCCGTCCCGGATTTTTATTAGACAGATAATCTCCGAAAGTACTCGACCGATTGTTGTGAAATTTTGCACTTATATTAAGAATATCATGTAGATGGTAAAACGCTAACCAAATTTACTAAACTAATATAATTTCAATTGTATAAAATAACATAGTCCTACACATGTAGTTTACAACTCCGAATCGGCTTTTCACCCGAAACGTCCAGATTTTTGGAAAAAAAATCAAAATTATAAAACAACATTTTGAAATTTAATTTTTAATCTGCTAACCAGAATGCTTTGAAATGTTGCAGATGTTTTAAGGCTATAAAGAGCATCATAAATCTTTAGTCAAAAAATATTTGCTTATCCCCTCCAAAAACTTGATGACGTCAGCTCAAAAGTTTGTGGAATAAATCATATCTAAAATGTACAAAATATGATGAGTCTGTACTTGTGATCTATCACTCCATTCATATTTTTTGGATTTGCATATACAGGGTGACTCAAAAAAATTAATGAATGCGTAAATTTATTTTACTGATTTACTCAGAAACTACAAAACCGAATGCTTTGAAATCTTGCAGATGTTTTAAGGTCATAAAGAGCATAATAAATGTTTAGTCAAAATATATTTGGTTATCTTCTACAAAAAACTGATGACGTCAGCTCAAAAGTTTGCCGAATAAATCGTATCTAAAATGTACAAAATATGATGAGTCTGTACTTGTGATTTATCATTCCATTCATATTTTTGGATTTGCATATGCAGGGTGACTCAAAAAAATTAATGAAGGCGTGAATTTATTTTATCGATTTAATCAGGAATTACAAAACCGAATGCTTTGAAATCGTGGGAATATTTTGAAGTTATTATAAGCATGGTAAACTTTTGTTCAAAATGTATTTGTTCATCCCTCCTAAAAAAATTGATGACGTCACCCTTAAATTTTGCTGAATAAATCCTATCTAAAATGCAAAGAATATGATGAGTTTGTACTTGTGATTTGTCATTCCGTTCATATTTTTTAGATTTTCTTAAGAGGTGGTTCAAAAAAATTAATGAAGTCAATTTATTTTATTGATTAAATTAAAGGCAACACTTATTATTAGTATAACACCCCAACCAACCCAATTTGGTAGACACAAAATTTGTTAAAGGAAAAACTCGGTTGAAACATAAGGGTAGCACGCTTATTTACATCGACTTTAACATTACAGACCTGCATTTGTTTTATGCGGTCACTTGGTTCCGCGAATGCGAAATAGACATGTTTATAATCAACCAATTGTGAATTTCACCGCCAAGAATTAAAATAAAACGCAATGTTTTATAAAATAAGCGGAAGTCGAAGCAATAAAACCGATGGTCGTTTTGTTTACAGTTTCTCTGTTTGACTCTCACGTATGCTGTTACGCCTGTCATCTTAAATTAAGAATATTTATACATAAACGATTTTCAGTTGCCGTATACGTGAGTAAATTGTTTCGTTATTTTATTGATTATTACAAATCAATATTCAAAACGACCCAATTCATTTTCCCGAAAATTTGAGAATATAATAATTTTATTCTTAGTATTACACTACATCTATCCCAACTGATATACGTGTCCTTGCAAAAATGTTGATGACGTCATCGCAATTTTTTTTTTAAATTCCCACTACAAAAATGTAATGAGAAAAAAAACACAATAGGCATGCAGTGGTCAAGTTTCCGACAGCGAGGGAAGTACTGTCTAAACTCTTTAGACCAATTTTTAATTATCAATTTCCATCCAGTAACGGAAAAAAAGAAGGCAAATGACATTAAAGCTATGCTTAAATATATGGCACGAACTGATCGTACATACTACGAGAAATATTTATATTAAATTTCTTATAATAGGTACATATTTAGTAGATTTTTCACAAATTTTCCATTAAATGAAGTTAATAATGTTTCCAGTTATTTACCTAAATATTAAATATTTTGTATTATCTTAAATTGAAAATTTGTTTTGATATGTATGTATTCATTCTTGTTATTACAACGGACATGGTTCAATAAACAAAATTCTAGTAATATTTTTTGCACACTTTTGAACCAAGTCCATTTTCACTTTTTGCATTATTCTGAAATTATTGTTGTTATGGATATGCCAAGTAGTACGGCAATAAATACGACAATAATTAAAATATTTAGCAGTAATGGTAAGTATTATTTTGCATTACAAAATCTATAGCACACGATTAAAATTTTGATGGGTAATTTCTATGACAAAGTTTTTAGGGACTTGGTTCAAAATAATTCTCAGCCGACGAAGTGCAACCGTGCAAATTTTTTTTTTAAGATTAGTGTAAGCTGTTTTTTGCACATGTTGCTGCATTCTTATCTTGGACAAATTTTAGTTGACTTTTTTGCTAACTCGTGAGAAGTTTGGCTGTTGTGAGTAAAAAAACTTGTTAAAATGAGTGAGTTGTTTAAAAATTCGTTTTATCATTTTTTGCTCAGCTGTATTGGTAACGGCAACGTTTCATTACAGTTTGACTGTTGGTTTTTAGATTGTTTCTGATTTAAATCTCTGGCATTCACTGTTTAGAAATTTAAATTTTTGTAGCCTGTTTTTTCGGTATTTTTTTGTTTTGTGTGTTGTAGATGTTATTTTTCTTTTGTTACGTGGTTACGGTTTTGGGCTTAAAGTCAAGACTTTTTATTGCTGATATTCATTTACGGTTTCTTTAAACTCTTAAAAAAAATTGTTTGTTGTATGTCTTCAGCTCAGAAAAAGGTCGTTCTATACTAGAGTCACAGAGCAGATGAAGTTATCAATGCGTGAACAACGAACCTAACGTTACCATTGATAACGCAATGCGTGTCTTTGCAGAGCACCTGTTGGACGATTTTAGTATAGGATCTTATTTAATTTGCCTTTTATTTTTAAATTGTTCGTATAGTTTGTGAAATTAACTTCAAAGAAGTCACTTCTTGCTTGAAATTATTTAATTGCAATAACCAAATTATTACAATTGTTTATGTTCGCATTAAAAATGGGGCTATTACACAATTTGTTTAATACTTATCTAAAGAAAAATAGTGAACATTTCGCCTGTTCCGTGTTCTTCTTGTCGCGTGATCGTTATATTTGTGACACAATTTTTTTATTTATGTGAAGAAACGAAACTCGGCGAAACGTCGCTAAAAGTAGCTCTCGCGGAAGCCAAACTTCAGTCCCATTTTTATGCTTCTGCTCAAAACCTATCTCTGTATATACACAGTCTCACCGCAAAAATCTCCAACCAAATCGACTAAATCGCCACAAGTGAAGACCCCCGAAGCTTCCAATTCCACGCCAGGTAACGATCTCGCAATTTTCCCAAACTTTTACTACCTTCAGTTTGCAGAAGCAGAAAAAACCGGACAAACCCAAGACACCCCCACCCGCAAGCGGAAACGAACGAAGCCCGTCGAAGAAGGCGAAATCACCGATGAGGACGAAGAAGAGGAAGAAGACGACGACGTTCCGTCGGACTTCTTCGACGATTTCGCGAAGGAGGACTTCTTGGACGGTTTGGATATCATCGATAACTGGGACAATTCTAAGAAAGAAGTCCCGAAGGAGAGTCCATCTTCGGTCGAGCAACGCAGGAAACGTTCGCGATCGCGATCACGCCACAGGCACCGCAAACACAGCAAGTCGCGCAGACGCTCTAGATCGACCAGCAGATCAAGGTCTGGGTCTAGAAGGAGAGACCGGGCGAGGAGGAGTCGGAGATCGAGCTCCAGCAGCACTAGAAGCAAGGATAAGCATAGGAGCCGGACTCGGACTAGAAGCAGAACTAGAACTAGAAGCAGAAGCCGCTCGTCGCGTTGGTCGACGCGACGGAGGAGTCCTGAATATCGCTCCCGGAGACGCAGTTCGAGCAGAGAGAGTCCAGGTGCACGAAGACGGAAGGAAGTGCAAAGGAAGTCGTTCCTGGAGGAGATTAGGGAGAAGTTGAACGAAGTGCGACCCGCGGCTCCTCCTCCTCCTCCTGTCATTTATAATTTACCGCCGTATACCACGCCACCACCGGTACCGGCGCCTCTTCCGATTCGTCCGTCGTACTTTAACCAGCCTCCTCCGCCGGGGGTTCAGGGGTTCGAACCGAGTTTTTTTTTTAGTAGTGGGGTTCCGGTGATTCATACGCCGCCGCTGCCGCTGGAATCGGTGCCTTCTCCATTGCCCGCACCCCCACCAGTTTTGTCGGTTCCCCCACCAGCGTTATCCGTTCTCCCACCGACGTTGTCCGTTCCCCCACCACGGTTATCCGTTCCTCCGCCACCCGTGCACGTGCCCCCACCACCGACATGTGCCCCTCCTCCACCGGAACCCATTCCCCCACCACCACCTTCGCCTCGTGCGTCAAGTCAAACAACGAAAGAAGATTATGCCAAAGTAATGAATTACATGTTTTGAGTTTGTTGTTATTGATTGTGTTTTTTTAGCTTTTCGCGGAGAAGAAAATTTCTCTTTGTGAATATTTAGCGGTAACTGCGAAGCAGGAAGGTGTGTTTTTTTTTAGTGGTGGTTCACTGTTGATTATGATGGTCGTTTAATTATGTCACTCAATTTGCGGGATTTTTTCTTCACCAGTCGATTTGTTGGGTGAAGGTGTGCTTACGCTAGATTCTGTATAGATGCTTTACTTAACTTAATGAACTTGTCGCCTGGTGAAGAGACGAATTGTGGTTAAGTTTTTAGTGCCAAGTAATCAGCAGTGCCATCTCTTGTAGTTTTTTTAGTGTTGCCTGCCACGTTTCTCTATTTTTCTTGTAATAGTATTCAGTGTCTCAGTTTTAACTTCAGTTGTTTATGACGTGAAACCACCGTTTCACTATTTCTTCTCTATTCTGTCATGTAACTTCTACAGTATTGTTATATCCGTTTTAGCGTCAGTAAAGTCAGCAGACCCCAAACATCTCCAGGAAAAAGCTAAAAGTAAGTATAGTTTGGAATACATGTTTATCGCCATGAAACGTCACCCAAACCCAGTAATACTCAATCAAATCACGTTCTTCCAGTACTCTCTCGTTGCCAAGACGTAATCAAAATGTTCCATCGTCATCGTCATTCCGGTCGGTTAACGGTTAAACCAACCCCAAAACCGCCATCCACACCACAACTAAATTATCAATCTCCTTTAAAGAAAACGCCAGTTGTCAGGTTTCGGTTCACGTCGCCTCTGAAGCAACCGACGACAGACGCCTACGAAGCGGCGCTTAATAAGGTGTGTGAGAAAGCCGGAGTTGCGAAGAAAGTCGAGGCTGCAGACGGAGTCGATATTGTGGATTTAGTGACTGAAGCGTTGATTAAATCCACCTCCATTGACAAGGAAACTGTGACGCGTGTTTTGAGGGAAACGTTACTGGGGGTGGTGGATAATGAAGGGGGCAGAGCGGATGTGGGGACGCAAAACACGAGTGTGGTGAGGAGCAGCAGTGTGGGCTTCCAGGTGGAAGACGAGAGGAATTCGGCGGGGGATTTGCCGGAGAGGGGGAGAAGGTTGTAAGAGTATTTTTGTTATTTTCAAATTGTGAATATTTTTATATAGTGGTTATAAAGATTTGTAAACGCAATACTTTCAGATTATAAATATACAAAACAATTTCGTTTTTTTTTCCCCTTGGATTTTGTGCGTATGCAACCAATATTACTACATTGAACTGTCATACATAGTTGCGACAGAGAACATAGAGAAGCGTCATAACGTAAATTAAATGACGGTTGAGGACTCCTCGACTTATGTTGGCAACCGTGTTTGTTTCTAATTAGGAATAAAATTAATGTCATAATATTTTTAACGACGCGTTTTAGTTTCGACAAATTGACACTAGATTTACCAGAATATTACAAGCTGCTTACTGTTTCCTTCACTCTAATTCAGGTCACACGAATTACAGTTCGTCGTCTGAGAACTTGTTTGATCTACAGACCAGAGCGCACTCAGGCCAATGTCGACTCTAAGCGTTCGGAAGCGATTTGATTTTTAAGCCACGATCCGTGACCCGATACACATCCTAACCTATAATTTCTTGCTGTTTCAACTTTCGAATTCTCAGTTTTTCGAAATTTTAGTTTGGGGAGTTTTCAGTTTACTCCTATTTATTATTTAATTTTTAATTTCTCAATTTTTTAGTTTTTTTCTTCAATTTTACGATTTTTAAATATTTCGATTTTTCAATTAATTGATTTTTCAGGTTTTTTGGTTTTTCAATTTTTCTATTTTTTCAGGTGTCGATTTTTCAACTTCACTTTTTTGATTTTTCGATTTCTCAATTTTTCAATTTTTAATTTGTCAGTTTTTCGACATTTCAGTTTTAGGATTTTTCAGTTTACTTATTATTCAATTTTTCGATCTTACGATTTTGCAGATTTTTGATTTTTCAATTTTTCGATTCTTTAGATTCTCAGTTTTTGAATATTTCAGTTTTGGGATTTTTCAATATTTCTGTTCTTCGACTTTTCCATTTTTGACTTCTGGATTTTTCGATGTGTCGACTTTTTACTTTTTCGATTTTTAAATTTTAGATTTCTCAGTTTTTTTGTATTTTAATTTTTCAATATTTAAAATTTTAGATTTTTCTATTTTTCGACTTTCCGCTTTTAGATTTTCTGTTTTTCAATTGTCGTTTCTTCAAATTTTCAATTTTTCAAATTTGACATTAATAAATTGTTAATTTTTCGATTTTTCAATTAATCGATGTTTTGATTTTCCCATTTCTTGACTTTCGAGGGTTTCGATATTCCTGTTCAATTCTTTAATTTTTCGATTTTTCATGTTTTTCATTTTACATTTTTTAGTTTTTTGAAGGTTTCGATTTTTCGACTTCACTTTATGGATTTTTTGATTGCTCAATTTTTTGACTTTTTAGGTTCTCAGTTTTTGGATATTTCAGTTTTCGGATTTTTCAGGTTTTCCCATTTTTCAGTTTTTCTTTCATTTTTCAGTTTGTCGATATCTCAATTTTGGGATTTTTCAATATTTTGATTCTTCGACTTTTCGATTTTTGACTCCTGGATTTTCCGATGTGTCGACTTTTTTACTTTTTCGATTTTTCAATTTTCCGATTTTTAAATTTTAGATTTTTTAATTTTAAAAATTTTAGATTTTTCGATTTCTCGATTTTTTATTTCAGTTCTGCGATATTTCAATTTTTCAACTTTTCGAATTTTTCAAATGTTTCGATTTCTTAATCTTTTGATTTTTCGAGTTCTCGGTTTTAGATTTTCTGTTTTTCACATGTCATTTTGTCAAATTTTCGATTTTTCAATTTTTCAAATTTGACATTTATAAACTGTTAATTTTTCGATTTTTCAATTAATCGATGTTTTGATTGTCCCATTTCTTGACTTTCGAGGATTTTGATATTCCTGTTCAATTCTTTAATTTTTCGATTTTTCAGGTTTTTGATTTTTTATTTTTTAATTTTTTAAGGTTTCGATTTTTCGACTTCACTTTATGGATTTTTCGATTGCTCAATTTTTTTACTTTTTAGGTTTTCAGTTTTCGGATTTTTCAGGTTTTCCCATTTTTCAGTTTTTCTTTCATTTTTCAGTTTGTCGATATCTCAGTTTTGGGATTTTTCAATATTTTGATTCTTCGACTTTTCGATTTTTGACTCCTGGATTTTCCGATGTGTCGAATTTTTTATTTTTTCGATTTTTCAAATTTTCGATTTTTAAATTTTAGATTTTTTAATTTTTAAAATTTTAGATTTTTCGATTTCTCGAGTTTTCATTTCAGTTTTGCGATATTTCAATTTTTCAACTTTTCGAATTTTTCAAATCTTTCGATTTCTTAATCTTTTGACTTTTATAAACTCTCAATTTTTAGATTTTTCAATCAATCGATATTTTGATTTTCCGATTTCTTGACCTTCGAGTGTTTCGATTTTTCTGTTGTTCAATTCTTTAATTTTTTTATTTTTTAGGTTTTTGATTTTTCAATTTTTCGATTTTTAAGGTTTCTATTTTGCGACTTCACTTTTTTGATTTGTCGATATTTCAGTTTTAGGATTTTTCAATATTTCAATTCTTCCGGTTTTCTATTTTTGACTTCTGGATTTTTCGATGTGTTTTACTTTTTCGATTTTTCAATTTTTGGATTTTTAAATTTTAGGTTGTTCAATCTTTTGATATTTAAGTTTTTCAATATTTCTTAGTCTTTCGATTTTTCGACTTCCTGGTTTTAGATGTTCTGTTTTTCAATTTTTCCATTTGTTAATTTTTCATTCCCGATTTATCGAGATTTGATTTTTCAGGTTTTCGATTTATCAGTTTTTCAATTTTTTATTTTGGCCTATTTCAGTTTCTCATTTTTTCCAGTTTTCCATATTTTCGTTTTTTTTTTTATTTTTCCGCTTTTCCAATTTTTCAACTTTTAACTTTTTGTTTGTCGATTTCTCTATTTTTCAATTTTTCGACTTCATCACTTTTCGATTTCTCCTTCTTTTGATCATTCAATCTCTCAATTTTTCAATTTTTGGAATTTTAAGTTTTTTGATTTCTCGATTTATCGAAATTTGGATTTTCCGATATTTTGATTGTCAATTTGTAAATTGTTCAATTGTTAACTTTTCGATTTTTCGTTTTTTGCCTATTTCGGTTTCTCAGTTCTTCGACTTTTCGACTCCATGATTTCTTGATCTTTTGATTTTTCGATTTCTCGGTTTTTCGATTTTCCAGTTTTTCCAAGTTTCGATTTTTCAGTTATCCGACTTTTTAAATTTGGGAGTTTCGATTTCTCAGTTTTTCGTTATTCAATTTTTAAATCTTAGATTTTTGAATTTTACATTTTTTCGATTTTCTGATGTTTCATTCTTCGATTTTCAGTTCTTCGATATTTCGATTTTTCAATGTTTCGGTTTTACGATTTTTTAAGGTTTCGATTTTTCGATTATTAGATTTTTCAATTAATCGATGTTTTGATTTTCCCATTTCTTGACTTTCGAGGATTTCGATATTCCTGTTCAATTCTTTAATTTTTCGATTTTTCAGGTTTTTCATTTTTTAGTTTTTTTTAGGTTTCGGTTTTTCGACTTCATTTATGGATTTTTCGATTGCTCAATTTTTTGACTTTTTAGGTTCTCAGTTTTCGGATTTTTCAGGTTTTCCCATTTTTCAGTTTTTCTTTCATTTTTCAGTTTGTCTCGATATCTCAGTTTTGGGATTTTTCAATATTTTGATTCTTCGACTTTTCGATTTTTGACTCCTGGATTTTCCGATGTGTCGAATTTTTTACTTTTTCGATTTTTCAATTTTTCGATTTTTAAATTTTAGATTTTTTAATTTTTAAAATTTTAGATTTTTCGATTTCTCGATTTTTCATTTCAGTTCTGCGATATTTCAATTTTTCAACTTTTCGAATTTTTCAAATGTTTCGATTTCTTGATCTTTTGATTTTTCGAGTTCTCGGTTTTAGATTTTCTGTTTTTCAATTGTCATTTTGTCAAATTTTCGATTTTTCAATTTTTCAAATTTGACATTTATAAACTGTTAATTTTTCGATTTTTCAATTAATCAATGTTTTCATTTTTCCATTTCTTGACTTTCGAGGGTTTCGATATTCCTGTTCAATTCTTTAATTTTTCGATTTTTCAGGTTTTTCATTTTTTAGTTTTTTTTAGGTTTCGGTTTTTCGACTTCACTTTTTGGATTTTTCGGTTGCTCAATTTTTCGACTTTTTAGGTTCTCAGTTTTTGGATATTTCAGTTTTCGGATTTTTCAGGTTTTCCCATTTTTCAGTTTTTTTTCATTTTTCAGTTTGTCGATATCTCAGTTTTGGGATTTTTCAATATTTTGATTCTTCGACTTTTCGATTTTTGACTCCTGGATTTTCCGATGTGTCGACTTTTTTACTTTTTCCATTTTTCAATTTTCCGATTTTTAAATTTTAGATTTTTTAATTTTTAAAATTTTAGATTTTTCGATTTCTCGAGTTTTCATTTCAGTTCAGCGATATTTCAATTTTTCAACTTTTCGAATTTTTCAAATGTTTCGATTTCTTAATCTTTTGATTTTTCGAGTTCTCGGTTTTAGATTTTCTGTTTTTCACATGTCATTTTGTCAAATTTTCGATTTTTCAATTTTTCAAAGTTGACATTTATAAACTGTTAATTTTTCGATTTTTCAATTAATCGATGTTTTGATTTTCCCATTTCTTGACTTTCGAGAGTTTCGATATTCCTGTTCAATTCTTTAATTTTTCGATTTTTCAGGTTTTTCATTTTTTAGTTTTTTAGGTTTCGGTTTTTCGACTTCACTTTATGGATTTTTCGATTGCTCAATTTTTTGACTTTTTAGGTTCTCAGTTTTTGGATATTTCAGTTTTCGGATTTTTCAGGTTTTCCCATTTTTCAGTTTTTCTTTCATTTTTCAGTTTGTCGATATCTCAGTTTTGGGATTTTTCAATATTTTGATTCTTCAACTTTTCGATTTTTGACTCCTGGATTTTCCGATGTGTCGACTTTTTTACTTTTTCGATTTTTCAATTTTTCGATTTTTAAATTTTAGATATTTTAATTTTTAAAATTTTAGATTTTTCGGTTTCTCGATTTTTCATTTCAGTTCTGCGATATTTCAATTTTTCAACTTTTCGAATTTTTC